GGGGTTTCTCGGGTGTGTTTCACTGCAGCTGGGATTGCACACGGGCGCGTCACGTGAATGCTTTGGGTGTCGGTAGTTCGGCGATCAAACTCTGGAATGGGCGGCCCGTCGCGTCGCAGCGCTCGCGTGACTCGGAGCTCTGACTCGAGTCGCAGTCGCCGCCAGTGGGTGGAGGGTCGACATGGCGGCTGCAGTAGCCGGAACTTTAGCCGCGGAGAGTCGTGTACCCAATGACCCGCTTTTGTCTCTCTGTGGTCCTCTACAGAAGCCGGGGAAAAATCGCCTGGTGACATGGTCGAGGATGCGATCGGCCCAAACAAGTCGATCTGATAGCCTGCCAGATGGGCCCACAAAAAATCTGATGATCCATGACGTCCATTCACAATATGGCGTCTGTGATCTGGTTGCTACGTGCCTGTGTTTCCAGATCCCCAATGCGTTATTGGGATGTAAGGCAAGTGAGACTTCAGAAGAGACGCATTCTGGCAGGAGAGGGTACCTAGTTTGCGGTTGTGAGATGTGGATGATTTATCAGCAGTTCTATGTCGTGGCGACCTCGAGACAGCATGAGAGTTAACTCTGACATAAATACACCTAACCGGATCGTGGCGGAGCTATTACAGCGCGGATTTCAGTGAGATATGGGGATTAACCAGAGCCTTGCAACAAACACTGTTGCCCTGCTATGTTTTGTGTAAGCTACATGCCTTCCTCAAAGTGTTTGTCAATTGTGGACTGGGACATTCCTCGTCGCCTGACTCCAGCGTGTTTCTGTTGTGCCTTTCAGTCGAAACATCGACATCGACTGAGACGGCCGGTGTTTCGCGGAAGTCTACTCCTACTCGTATATCCATTTTCCTGTTGCCGTCCCTTTTTGCCGGCTCATTTCAGGCCGTGCTGCGACAGGTCGACAAATGCACTGTGCCGTTCCTCTGAACAGTTGGCTTCACTGCAATCTATGTAGGATTAATGACATTGTTCACGGCTCATTGACCTCAGAAATAAAGGTATATGCTGGTTTTCATCGCATCAGCTGAGCTCACATCGGCACTACTCGTAATAAGAGCAGACATTCCCATGGGGCGTTACGTCGGAGTTAATTCAACAATCCATAATAGTGATGGAATTCCGATCATCCCTGGCAGTGGTATGCTTTGTTCCTTCCTGCACAAGTTATACTGGCACGTTTCAGGAGCTTTTGGGACGATTTGCGCGAATCTTTAAAATAAATGATATTTGAAATGCTATATGCAAATGGAGCGATGCGTGTAATATACAGTACATTGGATCAGGAAATTGTATGGCAGATGAAACGCGGGGTCACGGAAGCTTTGCAATGTACTTCATACAATGCACTTCATGTGTTGGCAGATTAACCGACTCATTTTAATAATTGTTATTTAAAATGCGCTAGCAATGCTACATGTAAAGAGCATCTCTCACCGCTAAAATAAAGGAAATAGTCTCGTCGGTTATGCTGTTGAACCAATTTTTTGAAACGTAGCCTGTCTGACTGGGACATTCGCCAGCCGGAACATGACGCTGTCTCGGTCCTCTGAAGTCACATCAACTGTAATTTATTAGTCATTTTGTAATTTGGCAACTGGTGATGAATCAGAGCTGTTCCCATCATATTTCTGATTTAGGGCGTCTTTGATGTTGCATGTCAAAATGGTGATAGCCAGTCGCGTATGAATGTAATTTCCAGACACAGGCGAAAGTATTTCGCTATAAAAGTTGTCTTATAATTAACTCGCGTTGAATTTACATTCTCAACAAAACCGCGCTGAGCCCATGACCATGCCGTGTAATGTCTCTTGATCTGTAAGAGCTTTCGTAACAGATCGCATCGTCAGATCTCCGCCGTTTGCATTGTTTTTCGATTAATTTTCACGGTAGTACTCCAACCACACACTCACGACAGCAGCGTATGTACGCCCCCCCCCCCCCCCAAACGCCGCAACTGCCGACTTTGGAAGGAGGTTTCACAAGGCCACCTCTTGGACAGCCACATCACATCAGTCCGCCCATCAGTCCGTCCACATCCACATCCACATTAGCCGTCTGATCCGTCCACCGCCTGACCACCTGGCCAGCCGGACTGGTGGACCGCCGCGCCGTGGGACGGACCCGGCCCGTCTCTGTTTCACCTCAGCCGCAGGACTGGCTCTCGCCACACACAGATGGTGCCATGCTAGCAGACAGAGATTTACCTTCGTGATGCGGCGAGACGAGTGTCCCGGCAACGACAACTGATCATGACCGCGGATCCGTTAATCTTTTGGGAGTGGCAGCAGTTGAAACGGATGAAGATGATTATTTTTTGTTTGGTTTCAGCTTGGGTAGGTACATGGTTAAGAATGGATTTGCGGGCGCAGGTTCCGGCTGTAAACAACAGTTTCACAGAAATGACGTCTTGATGTCCTACAACTTCAATTTATCTTGATAATTAGCTTAAGTAATAAACAAGAAGTTTGCAAACTCGTTGACAGTTATGGGTAGTTTACATGAAATGCATGGTTTAAAAATGTTGGCATGGTCATGTTTTGCTAGCTGCAGCATTTTCATTTGTCCAGGACCTCTGATTCAGCATGAGGCATCTTGGATCGAGAATGAAAGCGCCGTCTCTCTACGTCAACCATGATCAGTTGATATACGGCCATGGGAGTTGCCCCTTCCCCACATCATTTTATAATGAAATTGTGGATTTTTACGTTTGTTTGACCTGAAACAATTAAACAATAAATCCATATGACTTCGTCGGAGATTATTTTTCACCTATTTATTCTTTCGCATAGCAATGAGTTGTTCTGTCTCGTTTCATGCCTTGCGAAAGCAAAAGCAATAGGATTTGTTCTTAACCCGCGACCTGGTGGGGGGGGGGGGGCTATTTTTTGCCCCCCCCTCCAGACTTTTCGATATATCTCCAGAACCTCTGCGCCGATCGTCACCAAACTCTCAGTACCCTCCCGGACATCGATTTTACACATTGTGACCAAAAATTTTTCCAAAGGCTATGATAGGTTGGCCGGAAATGACGTCAGAGTGACGTCATGTTCTGCCATTTTCGACCCAAAAAAGGGTTTCGCGGGAAGAGCTGTCAGGCCTATAGCTTTGCAAATAAAGAAAAATGATAAAGACATAAAAGCTGTAGATTGAACAGGGCTACAAAACTGCTATCTCGGATTTTTGAAATTTTTGGATTTTGACCCCCAAAAATAAAAAATAGATTTTTCGGATATAATAATCGAAAAATCCAAAAAGTTTTTTGAATTTCGCAAAAACCGGAATATATATGATAGTCCTTACCGCCTTCCATCTACATACCAAATTTTAGATTGATACCTCTTTTTTTGGCGAAGTTATAGCGAAAAAACTGTTCAAAATTGGTGACGTCAAATTTTCAAACTCAATTTTTTAGCAATTCTAGACCCCGTAGCGCAAAACAAAGACCACCATTAGACTCCCCGTGACGAGCTGCATCGAATCAATACCCATTTTATGCAAAACTATCAACTTTAAAATTTGACCTTTTTGGCCTGACCTTGACCTGACCTTGACCTGAACTTCACCAGAAAGTGACCTAAGCCGTACCTGATAGTCTTATAACCAACACCATTGAGTTGGAAATGAAAAATTGGCCATAAAACATGTATCACACAACCTTAGTAAAGTTGGGCTCATGTGACCTGACCTGTGACCCTTGGTGACCTGACCTGTGACCTGACCTGGTATTGCCAGTGACCTCTAATAGCAACATATCTACTAGGCAACTGACGCCCTACCGCTGATTCTCGACAAAATGCGTTTTCCTCGGTGTTATAGCGCATTCCCTAGAACACCCGTGAACGGAGAAACATTTCATCTTTGACCTGACCTGTGACGTCATAGATGACCCCGAGGTCAATTAAATTTGGTTTCCTGCGACAAATTTGACAGGCCTTTCGAACGCCGTTTGAATTTTGCGGATCCGTCCAGTAGTTTCGGAGATACGAGGGGGGCAAAAAATAGCCCCCCCCCACGGTCGCGTTATAAACAGACCCCACCAGGGCTCGGGTTAAGCCATCGTATTACCAAAAACTCATGGTCAGAGGCAAAGCTTACCAATAAAAATCCCACAACATGTCCTAGCACACCTGGATATTGTTTGCCTAGCCGAGACATGTGCGGCGCGACCTTCATCAAGGCGATGTCACGTTCCCCAATTCTGCTAACCTGCTAGTGAACGAAAACAGGTGTAGACTGCTGAATGCCCGACAGAGCGGAAGGCTCCGGACATGTTGATACACCTTGTCTTCAATTTATTTCCATTACTGATTGGTCAATAGTCGCCTTTATCTATGGCCATGCTAGCCATGACAGGTTGATGTCGGAGGATTGGTGGTACCTACATAGGTATATCATGTATACCTAGTTGTGTTCATGCTTGCCGTCCGGTTCCTTTTCATCGTGACGTTTCGTGTGACCCAGCTATTCATAGTCCGTTGCGACTCAGTTTGTGATAACAATAGGCTCCACGTTCGTCGCAGTGCATCATTTTGGGACACACGAGCTACCGAGCACGTACCGGCAGTGTATATTTGTCCAGCCACCTCCCATCATACTCACCTTGACGTCAAAAGCGCATATGGCAGGCATGAAAATAATAACGGAACGCCTACTTGTAGAGATTGAAACACTTAGCAGTTCATTAGTTCATAAGATTGAGCTGAAATTCATGATGCAGAAGTTCAATGCATACCAATAAAATGGTTAGGAAGGATTTAGGATTATCGATAGTCGGCAAGACAGACTCCAAAAATGTAACAACTCACCCACCCGGATGAGAGAAGATCATACCTTATGCATTTATGTCTGTATGCATATAAGTACCTAGCTTGAAATGCTCGCAAACTAAGCCTCTTGGTGCTTCTTATGAAGTCCTGTTTAACCGTAGTTACGTGACCCGCCGCTAGTGGAGCTGGTGGCGGGTCAGTCTGACCCGCCCCAGCAGTGCGTGCTCGCCCTTCGCGCAGCTCGGGCGCTCCCCGGTCGCCGGTATTAGAGGCGGTGTGGGACTCCGTGTCCAGTGATGGAAGAGCTGAGTACGGCTATCCGTGCCCTGTCAGACAGGTTCACTGTGATTGAGGCGTCAGTGAGTGCAATCAACGACCGCCTTGAGGAGCCCAACGCCGGTCGTCGGCACGTGGCTCAACCAGAACAGGCTATTGAGCCGACTGAACCCGTGAGTACAGAGGGGTTCGATTTTGGATCCTACAGTGATCTCCAGGCAGAACTAAAGACTGTTCGTGAAGGAGTGGCCAAGATCAAGTTACCGCAGGACTTGGTCGTTGGAGATTCCCGCGCCGGCGTGGGGAAGAACGACCTGCCGCGTTTTCAAGTGATTCAAAGGTGCGCGAGGTTCCAGGAAACCGTTCTTAAGGTTTTGTCAACCGCTTCTGCTACGGATCCTGTGATAAACCAACTCACTATAGTCGCGTTAGCCCAAACCCGTTACTTACAAGAAGAATATACCAACTTGCTTGTCTCAAATCAGTTCGACGATACGACCGCTCAGCTTTTCAAGACTCTGCAACAAAACCCGGCGGCTTTCCCACCGGGCGCGGTGGAAAACCTTCAGCGGGCGGTGACGATCGCCGGGGCGCGGCAGCAGTCACGCCAGGTCAGTCACGTGCCCGACCGTGCCCGCTGGCGCGGTCCGCCGCCGGCGGCCGCGCGGTTCGGCGCGGGCCCAGCGTCGGCTGATTGGAGGAGCCGCGGTCGACCCGGCCCGGGCTACCCGCAGCCGTCACGTGACCTGTCCCGGCCCGGTCAGCTGCAGCACGGAGCGGGGCCGGGGCCGCACGCCGCTGAGTGACGGGAACCATGGTGCTTCGGCCGGCGGCCTGGTCGGAGATCGGCGCGTCTGATGTGGTAATCGAATGGGTAACGGATGGGGTTCCCATACCGTTTTCAAGTGAGCCTGAACCAAAAGTATTTTCTAATCCAAGGTTCACTGATACTGAAGTTGATTTTTTGAACAATGAACTCATTAACCTGGAATCTAGAGGTGTCGTTCAGAGAGTGTCAGAGACGCCTCACTGCGTGTCCCCACTAAAGGTTGTGCCGAAACCTAGTGGGAAGTTCAGACTGATATGTGACCTCAGGTATGTGAACTCACACTGTGATACACCACGATTTTCGTCTGAAGGTATCGATGTTTTACCCGAAATAGTACGTGATGCTGAGCAGGCTGTAACTTTAGATTTACGTGACGGATTTTTTCATTTTCAGATCGAGCCACAATATCGCAAGTATTTAGGGTTTCAGTACGGTGGTTCTTGGTGGGTGTGGTGCTGCTTACCTTTTGGGTTACAATGCTCTCCGTTTTATTTTCACAAATGTATTCGTGCCGTTGTTAAATATTTGCGTGATGTCAAATCATTGTCACTCATGGCCTATGTTGACGATTTTTATTTATGCTCCACAAAAGCAAGCATTGATCGAGACCTTGGTGTGTTGTTAGAGACGCTCAGTACCTTAGGTCTCGCTGTGAATTTTGAAAAGTCACATCTCACGCCCTCGGAGTCGGTAACTTATTTAGGCTTTGAAATTCGCTGTGCTACCGCTTTGAGCCCTCCTGTGATTACGGTTCCTAAGTGTAAAGTTCGAAAGTTGAAGCAAGACATTTCGAGGGCGCTGAAGCGTAGTTTCATTTCGGCTCGTTTGCTAGCTCGGATCGCTGGCCGGTGCATCAGCATGCTGGCGGCAGTCTTTCCGGCAAAGCTGAAATTGAGGAATGTGTACCGTCTCCTCAATTCCAGGTCATCCTGGGAGGCTCGGCTCCTGTGGTCGCCAGGAGCGAGAGAGGACCTGTTGTGGTGGGTGTCCTCCCTCGACGGCTGGAACGGCAGGCTGCTGGTGCCGCCGCCTGTCTGCGAGCTGCAGCTCTCCACCGACGCGTCGGGCTCCGGCTGGGGGGCCGTTCTCTCCACGCCCAGCTGTCAGCTGGCGTCCGGATTCTGGGATCAGCTGGTGAGCAGACAGTCGGCGAATTATCGAGAGCTATTAGCGGTTTATTTTGCTCTTCGCTCGTTCCGTTTTTCGATAGTTGGAAAAACAGTAGAAGTTCTGTCGGACAATGTTACTACAGTCGCTCATATAAACAAATTCGGTTCATCCAATGTTAGCTTAGATAGCATCGCACAGAACATCTGGTCGTTTGCTTTTGACAATAACGTTTCGCTGGTAGCGCATCACATTGCGGGTGTCTCGAACACGGGCCCCGACACCCTGTCTCGTATGTCGGCGCGTCATGAGTGGGTGTTGCACCCGTCCATCTTTCGACAGCTGGACCGGATGTTCGGGCCGCACACGGTGGACCGCTTCGCGGCGGTTGGCACGGCCCTGTTGCCTACCTACAACAGTCGGTTCGCGGACCCATGCTCGTCAGGAGTGGACGCGCTGGGACAGACGGACTGGGGCGCCGAGAACAATTGGGTAAACCCGCCGTTTCGCCTGATCCCGAGGGTTCTCGACATCATCGAGGCGCAACGTGCCGACGCGACGCTGATCGCGCCGATGTGGCCAGGCCAGCCGTGGATGGCACGCCTCCGACGGCTGTGCACGGCACCGCCGATCCGGCTGCCGCCGGTAACACGTTCGTGTCTCCCTCTATCGGAGCAGCAGCGGATCGAGCCACATCAGAACCGCAGGTGGACGCTGTGCGCCTGGAGAATCTCTGGTGCACACGGCTAGAGGCACGAGGATGGTCGCGAGCCGCTAGCAACTATTTACGGGTGAGCTTGGCGAGCAGCACACTCGCAACGTATGACCGATACATTCGTGATTTCTTTGTTTTCTGCGGTGCTCGTGGAGTATCGTTTCCGCCAGATGATTCCGCTGTGCTGGCTGATTTCTTCATGCACCGGTGCGGGTCGTCGGACCGGCCGCACTCCACCGTTCGGTGTGTTTCTGCGGCCATTTCAGCTTTGTATGAAGCGTTCGGAGCGGATAACCCTGCTAGGGATCCGTTCATTGTGAGACTCCTGCAGGCCATCGTTAAAGGGGGCACGCGCGCCCCGATGGTTCGATCTGCAATCATGGATGTTTCGGCGTTCGTCCGCATGTTTCAGTCTTGGCCAGACAGTGCAGAACTGTCTACCAAACAGCTACGGCTGAAAACCATTACTTTGTTATCGCTAGCTTTAATGCTGAGGCCGTCTGACGTCGCGCCACTGGCTAAGAGGTACGAGTCCAGTACCGGTGTTATCTCTGATTTTGTTATGTCAACGGACCAATTTCAGTTTAACGCGGACGGTTCTCTCGGTGTGACCTTTCTCGGCGTCAAAAATGACAGCCAGCGTACGGGCTTCCAAGTTACTTTGCCCCCCAGTCCTGATAGCAAGTTAAATCCTGTGGAAGCACTCAGGATTTATCTGGCTCGTACGGAATCGGTGCGTTGTCCGACTACTAAACCGGCGTTTTTAACTCTCGTTAGGCCTTTCAAGGCTATATCTGCTAGCACAGTCGCTGAACTTCTGCAACAGGCCATCACTGCCGCCGAAAAGTTTGGCCTGCCGACTGGCCATCGGCCGAAAGATTTTCGGCCGACAGGGGCTACTCGGGCGGTTCAATTAGGCTTTGACACTGATGATGTACAACGTCTTGGCCGCTGGAAAACACGGTCAGTCTTTTTGGAGCATTACGTGCACAACGCGATTCAAAGCTCGTACACGGAGCAAATGCTCAAGTGATCGTGTCAGTCTGATCAGTCGTGTGTGTGTTCGTCCTTCTAGAGCCAGGCACTTGTGCGATTCGTTCACGTTTTCCTTTTGTTTCTCTCTCTCTCCAGTGTTTATTGCGTTGTTTGTTATAATACATGTAAGGCGGGTCACAGTAACGTTGGTTTTATGAAACCGTAGTTACGTGACCCGCCGCTAGTGGAGCTGGTGGCGGGTCAGTCTGACCCGCCCCAGCAGTGCGTGCTCGCCCTTGCCGTGGTTGGTTGCTGGCTAATGTCGGTTGAAGGTTGATGCAAATGTTGAGGTGACGGGATCTGTGGAGCGTCCGGGCAGCGGAGAGCCTAGCATGTACGCTGTATTGCGTTGTTTGTTATAATACATGTAAGGCGGGTCACAGTAACGTTGGTTTTATGAAAGATGTGTGCGTTTGAGTGTTTTTAACAATCATTTTAAGTGCTTGGGCCATTAAAGGGACTATCCCACCTTCTAAAATGTTGTTAAAACCAGTTAAATTGTGCCCGACTTTATAGATTGGATGACCAGGAACACGGTTCTGGCATTTGCTTTTCATTAAACATCTTAGGCTTCCCATATTCCAAACACAAACTTTCAAATATGTGACGTCACAGCCCAAAATTACCTCCTTCCCCAGGCCACATTACTGTCATAAAGCTGATTCTTTTTACTCTGTAGGCACCACAACAAAGTTCAGACCAAGTTTTAAGCGATTTTTCAACGAACAAACCCATTTAAATCAGAATGACTAAACGAGGTGACGTCACACTAACGGTCGCTCCATGTTGAAGATAGGGCCTTGTACAAGGCCCATTTTCAAATGAAGGGAACGAATTTCTTCAACACCAAGAGGCCGCGGGGGTGGCAACCTAGATAGATAGTGGTTTCTGAACCTCGCCGCAAACTTGGCTATCTCAACTCAAACCCCATGTTAAAGGTGGGATAGTCCCTTTAACATCAGCTTCAGTCAGTGTCAAAGATTTAATTCACATTTTCATTTTGTTCACGGCTAGAAACGGAGGATGGAGCGTGTCTTTCTATTAATGCAAACCGAAACAAGCTGGCCCACGAAAATAATGTTACAAAAAAGTTTGTGTCTCTGCTCATGGCTCACAATTCATTATTTTCCAAACGGAAGTCAAGACGTGTGTGAAACATGCTGCCAGGGCCTATCTTGGTTCTTCAGGGTCGCGTCACTACACTGTATGAATCGGTACGCAATACGCATGCTGGTTCTATAAACCGGTCAAAGTCTTTCTATCTTTGTAAATACGAAACGCACACTGCACCGTAATAGACGATATTCGCCGTTGAAACTACGTTGCATAATTGGGCGTGCAGTCATTGATTGCAGCTGCGATAATGACTGCTGGTCCCGGTTGTGCACCGGGGCATGGCGCGCTGTCAGTTCATGCTTCCAAACGTCAGCAGCTCGTCACGAGCGTCAGCTGTCGCCCCCTCTCCCACCCCACCCCATCCGACACCCCTCCCCTCCGTCGGCCGTGCCACATTGCACAAAGCGCCACCGTGCAGGAAGGCGTAACGAACCGAGCCCAATGATGGCCTGCACCGTAACGAGGCAAACTCGGTCCGACACACTCTCACGCGGCCAGAGAGTGCGGCTACCGTACCTATGTGGACGGTATGATGCTGCGCTTTAGACACGTTAGCTTCTGTCCCATGCCCCACACAGTCGAAGCAGCACACATCAGCACATGGCAGCACACCATATCGTGCACCAACATTGAAGACGAAATTATTGGTCGTAACTCTTAAAGAGGACAGCCTGGCCGACCGCCTCTCGGAATACCAGCTCGATAATGCTGGTACTGGTAATGCTCGATTCATGCTGGTACCCTTTCCAGATCAAGAGTGTAGATCTTTGTGAATTTCACACCGTGACGATTTTCTCTATTATTCAGCCGTCTATGGGGGAGACGTTCCACGTCTCTGCGATGTGAACGGTAGCAGTGAGTCCGCACCTGGCCGCCACGCCGGCTTGGTCGGCCGACAGGCATCTAAGGGCGATTTCGCCTTCACCCCATGAGCATTTTGAACCATGGCGCCGAGTTGTTTTTCAGCGAGTTGTTTGCGACGAGTGCGGACGAGCAGTTCAAAGACCCCTGGTATCCCAGGCGGGCCGTTCCGCCGAGGGAAAGGGCCGCACTTGGAGGGGGTCGCCGCCACCCTTCATGTCGGGCACCTGTCTCCGTTCCGCCCGAGTAATGGCCACGGTCTGCTATCGGTGGGCCGACCTCCGCGCCGGGGTATATGCGCGCGCTGCGAGAGGGCCCAGGGAGGAGAGACGCGACGCATGTGTCAGTGGCAGAAATGCTTCCATCAGCCTTGGACTGAATTGGTTGATTGAATGTTCACGGACACGCATATGCGCCAGAGTGCTCGAAACAAGATGAAATGGCTTTTGCATCCCAGTTAGATGTTGAAAGATCTTAGACCCTCTCAAGGGAAGCTCGAGGTCGCCGCTTCAAACTTCGCTCGATAAAAAGAGGCATCGTAGTGCAACAAACTATGGGTGTATTGTGCGACGTCTCGTTAATTCAATTTATCAGAGCAGGTTTGCTGCTGCCTTCACAGTTACAGTCACTCGTCTCACACGTTACTGCACATCAACCACACGTGTAATGTGAATTTCGCTCTGACAAAGAGCGCCGTTGCGGCTGCGGCGTTGAGGCGAGCCGCGGCGCCGGCAGGCTTACTGCAGGTTCGGCACCTCGGCCTCCCGCTGCAGCGGCCGGGCGGCCGCCTCTCATCGCGCAAACGGTGCGTCGACACGCCAAATTAGCGGCGGTTTTCCGCGGTGGTCGGGTCGTGTGGACACGGTCTACCACGCCCACGGCGGCCACGGCGGGACCGGAACCGAGCCCGGTCCCATGGCCGCGCCGCGCCGCGCGGTGGCTGGAAGGGTCCGGAGACGGGTGCTGGGCGGAGGCTTGATGGCTCATGACTGGAGGGCTGGTGGCTGGAGGGCTCTGGAGACGGCTGTTTAGCGCTGGCGATGGTGACGGGGTAGGACAGCGCGTGGTGGACGATAGGCAGTAGACTGTGGGCGGTGGACGGTGAGCGGTTCACGGTGGACGGTGGACGGTTGACGGTGGACGATGGACTGTGGGCGGTGGACGATGAACACTGAATCAGAATGTGGATCATTGACTATGGGGATGATGGACATGGACTGTGGCGAGGGAAGTGCGGGTACCGAGCATGACACCGTTTCTTTTAGGTCGCCACGGTCGAAGTTTACGGACAAGTAGTCGGGTACGGAATATCGCACCGACATAAAAGGCATATGTCAAAGATATAACAATGATTTCATCATAATCGACAGTATTATATCCTATCGCGTTCCGATCTGTCAGATTTCCACCTGACGGAATGGATGTGTCCTGTTAGTTTCTGATCAGTGGTCACAGCTACCAATTTAGGAATCATTGTATATTTGGATCGATGGCGGGCGGCGGTCAGTGCCTCAGCTTGGGCCCCATGATCCGGTGACCAGGAGTGTGACATTTATACCTGATTCAATGTGCTCGCACACTAAACGTTGGTGCGTTGAATTTTTAAATTCTGGCCGCATATTTTCAACTGGCAGGACAAGGCGCGGCACTGCGCTGATAGGAACTGAATCAGCCTCCCACACCGTTAGATGAGCAATGGGTGGTGTTGGGAGTCCCAATTAATATATTAATCTATGCAGGTGCTCGTGCACATAAGCTTAGCATTCATCTGGTAGTCGAATTGTCAAACCTGATAGCGGATTGTGATTTAAGCTTTCACAATCCTGATAAATTGCTGAGTCCTACATACATTAAATACATTTGCGAGTGGTTTGGTGACGATGCTGCAACATTTATCACACGGCTTTTCCGATCTATTCACGAAGGAATAATTCGTTTTACACAGCTGTGTGCTTTTTCACCTTCTACGTACAGTCCACAGCAGAAGTAATGTGGGGTTTCAGTCATGGGTATGTTCTGCTTCTGAAGCTTAGGAACGATTAGCCAGACTACAATGAAACTTTGAATGTAGCTTATACGTATCGTCCGTCACCTTTGCAGCTGCAACTTAACCCTCGCCCGTAAACGGCGATCTGCCACCTTCGCCCATGCAGGGGGGGGGGGGTTGGTGCGACCCCCCCCTTGGCGTTTGAAAACGGAGCGTCGTAGAGCTTAGCGGAAAAGACCAACGGATTGCTCTCGCCAAGATCCCGCGATTGGTGGTATATTTTTTGGTCCTAGGTCAACATTTGACCTACTTTTGACCGGTCAAAGGTCAAATTTTCGGAAAAATAGACTTTTTTCAACTTTCCGCGGCGATTGCGGCAAAACGGTGGGAGATATCGACTTGAAACCTTCACTATCGTGTTCCTTGATCAATTCTCTATCGTTTGGTATGTATTTCGTTTCCCTAGCTCTAAAAATGACGCGTTGGGAGCGCCGGAAGTCGGCAAGGTCACAGTGGGCCGCAGAAATTCGAAAAATCAAAATTTAAATTTTTGAAATCTGATTGTATTTTTGGATTTGGAAGGTCTATTTGCTCCCTATAGAAGCTAATATTGCTGCATATTCCCATTGAGGTGACAAGAATTAGCAAAATAGTGGTTCGGGCGCTTTTCAAAAATAGTACCGGACGCTGTTCCTCTTGTGACGTCATAGCTCCGTGACCTGACCTGACCCGGTCAAGTTTCTTATACCATATGATAGCCAATACTTGCCCCAACATGCATGGGAAGTTTCATCACGATCCATCAACCGATGTCCGTACCACCGGCAGGAAACCTCGGGCGTTGGCACTCAGTTTGTGAAAATCCGGCCGGAGGCTGTTCCCTTTGTGACGTCATAACTCCGTGACCTGACATGACCCGGTCAAATTTTTTTGATCAAAAGATGCGCAAGGTTTGCCCCATAAGGTACCCAAAATTTGGCGGCGCTGCGCGCCGCCGTTTTTGCACTATTTCCGAAAAACCTCAGGGGGGGGGGGGTTGCACCAACCCCCCCCCCTACATGGGCGAGGGTTAAGCTATTGACATCTTCTTTTCGATCACTCCGCATTAAACAATCGCCAGTCAAAACCAACCGTTGATATTGGTAAAGCCCTACATTACCTTAGCGGTGGACTGTACGTCATTGGAGTGTTTGGAAGATGGAAGACCTCTTAAGTTAGCACAAATTATGCTTCCATCAAACTTAATTTGCTTCCTCGTTGCTGCTCAGCTCAAATACAACTTGCAGGACACAACGTCGAACACTCACCGGTTTTCCATCGTCCCCCTCAGTCTCGGACGCTCCCGGACGATGTAAAAGCCCAGCCCCGGCTGCCGGACGGTGTAAAGCCCCCATCCCCGCCAGGCCACGAATGGCGCAGTACGGGACAGCCCACACAGCCCCGTCTTATCAGAGAATACGGAGATACCGGCCAGCCGGCGACGTCGCCATCTAAATCACAGCGTTGCCGCCCGCCAACTGCACATCAGGCTGCCTTTGACAGGAGCGCATCCCATTTCAGAACCATAGAGCTCTTGGTATACAGAGCAGGCCTGATGTGGGCGACTGGGGCCCTATATCTCTGTTCTGTCATGCTCGTATGTCTGTATATTGTCGTACTAGCCTGTCGTAATTATTTGTTAGCGATGTGCGGAGTGGAACACGCTCTGTGCCTGTTCTAACCAGTTGGGTAAGAAATAAGCTGCAATATAGTGGGAGAGATGCTGACTTTTTATGCCGTGATTTTTAATCAGCGCTACCGAGAAGAGACAGCATAAATATATTTCCTTTTTTTGTGGTATCTGTGTGGTTGCCACACGACAGCGATAATGAATTACCTCAGCTGATCACATCACCGATCTTATGCACTGAATTCATGTCACTGTAGCTACCGGCTGACACCAAACAGCAGGATGAATAATGAATATTTTATCTATCCATTGATGGTACATCGTGGTATCGTGCCATTTTATTTTCACCACGAGAGTGGAGGCATTTCCTAATACGGACGTGGACATTTAACGTAGGCATTAAGATGTGTTAAATGTTCTTTTAATAACATACTAGTCACGGGAACGTAACTACAAAACAAACAGCCTGTCCGGAGTGATAGCGGCACACTAATTACTAATTAGTGAGAGCCGATACACGATCAGTACCGACCGACTCCCTATGTGGTGTGTAGCTCCAGTCAGCTCATTGGAGCCGCGGATCAGAGCTCGTCACAGCTGAAGCCACAGATCAGAGCGCAGCACGGCTGAACCAGCAGCTGATCCCTGTTGCAGCCTTCCCGCCGGTGCCGCAGACTGTTGTCCCGTTGCCACGATAACGCTGCACGCCGCGCGGACGGTCGCCGTGAGACAGGTCCCGGCCTTCAGAGTCGCCCGCGATGGGGAGATCGAGCCGCATGTCAGGCGCGCCGCCGTCGCAGTATAACTCTAAATCCGGCTGGCGCACCGCCCTCAGCCATGGACGGAAACCGGTCCTGCCGGCAGCCGACAGTATCCTAGGCCCCGCCAGACCGAGACCGTGCCAGAGTGGAGTGGTCAGGGGGTTCGCCGACTAAAAATAGTCCATCAGAAAGTGTGCTGTCTAAATATATAGAACGGGCCGGCCCGGTCTCGACGAGATTATAGTTGACTTTATCTGCTGAACATGAATGGTAAGCGGGCCTTGATCTTATAGCGATGGGCTGATCTTATCTATGAAAGAATAAGAATAGAGGGAGAGAAAATGTCGACAAGGAATGCATAATAGAAAATGACGTCCATCATACCTACCTACATGTGCATTTTTGATTTTAGTTTATCGATCAGTTTATCGATCGGAATTAAAGACTAAATATTTTAGACGATAATAGTGTTTTCTTAACTTAAAAATTAAATGATACCTATTTGTGCCAATAATTCACCCAATAACTTAACGAGTGGCAGAGATTGAGGGACCGTGTCATCCTTGCCAGTGGGCCTCGTCATGGGTGGCACCCATTAAGATACTGTTCTCTGCTGAATCGATACCAAGGCCCGGTTGTGCCCCATTTTATGTAAACAAGTTATGCTATCAATTATATGCTCGAAATTATTTGTAATGTACTTGTTATATAATTGACTTGATCACAATTCGTGACAGTTCCTGAGCCGCGCAGCACTGAATACCGGTTGTAAGTTCATTGTTGCAACTCTTGGAACTGGCTTTTTACAAATCGAGCATTAGCGAGTGAGATGCTAGCTCGCGATAGCGTTGCAAACAGGCATGGCCTGTCAAACTTATGATGAAGTTATGGAGAAGTTTGTTAGTTAGAGGCTTTAGTCCCGTTAATTTTTCCCAGCTGTATGATTTACCGGCATGGCTTTTGCCGCTTGGAAACAGTTGCCACCCCATATAGTTACTTCTTGTCACTTGAAGCATCTGTTGAAAAGGGGCTCTCATATATGACATGGGATCGATAAGCAATTGACAGTAAGCACAACAACAATTCTCTGAAAATCGACCATTTAGGTCGCCAGATCCGCGGCCATATGAGCAGCACTGTAAGTAGGTGGAGGGAACTACCAGTTACCACAATTTCACCGGTTGGGTAAAGTGGCCGCCCCACCTGTGCCACATATAACTATGCTGTGTGTGAAGTAGCACTGCATCAATGCGTACTCTGTCCTCTATAGTGACATCTGTGTGTTCTTTTTCAGGATACTCTTTCGAACACGACTGGCTACCACGCGAATCGGCACCATGGGCCGGAGAAAAATACAAATATCGCGCATCACCGATGAAAGAAATCGACAGGTTAGTGCGCGGGTCCCCAATGAAGACTCGCTATATAACATTCACACTGGAACATACTTGATTTGGCGCACTGAAACGCTTGCCTTGCTTGTCATAGTTGCATACCTGCAATGTCTTGTTTGCAACTATACATCGAGATATAGCTACAACATAATACATGAGATGAACAGCTTTATGTCATTCAGCTTTGATACATGATGCAGTTTTCGGATAATTTTTTCGTTTATTGCCACTCAAGTTTCTAAAAGCAAATTAATATTCCCCAGACTCCAAGGGATTCATATTCACGAAATAAGCTGTCAAGTCTGCAGCTCCGTTACCTCCTTCTTTATTTTATCAGCTGATCGCATCACCACCGTGAACGTTTCGTTGCCCGTCTTCTGCCAACACTATCGTCACCTGGTATTACGGCCAACCGCTCCGCCCCGCAGCGTATCGTTATCTGTCACGGCTGAGAGTACATTGACCTCAGAAAAGACCGATGCCCCTCTCCCGGGGTTTCCTCAGCGTTGGTTTGCTATTTACTGTTTTTAGTGTTTTGTCACTGATTTATTAAATATAAACGATCATCTAAGCGACTCGCTGAAAACATCGACTTTGAATAACAACGCTCTAGCAACTGAATTCCACTTTCTATTATTTTGATATTATCTTAGGATCCTGTTATAGAATACAAAAAAATGTCTAAAAAACGAAAACACATCTAATTGTCGTTTCACTGAGCACGTGTTGCAAAATGATATGACAAGAAGGAATACGATGCTATGACAGTTAAACAATAGGAGACAATGACAAAGTCTAAAGAGGCACTCGATCATAAAATTTAGACAGGCGGACAACACTCATTTTAGGGCGTTGCATCAACTCAAGTCTTGTTGAGCTCTCCAGTCATTATCCATTTCACCCATACCCACCTTTTACTCAAATTTCACGGAGTTTTTTATCGTCAGGTGACATTCACGAAGCGCAAGTTCGGCCTGATGAAGAAAGCCTACGAGCTGAGTGTGCTGTGCGACTGCGAGATATCTCTCATCATGTTCAACTCGTCCAACAAGCTGTTCCAGTATGCCAGTACAGACATGGACAAGGTGCTGCTCAAGTACACCGAATACAACGAGCCTCACGAGTCTCGCACCAACAAGGATATTCAGGAGGTGGGTCCGATGGAAACTCCAGGGCGGGCTCCTAGAGTGTGCAATGCACAGTGAGAGTTCCTATCTCCAGGCCCGGCTATTAATGAACTTGTAATGAACTTGAACTTGAATTTGTTAGTTGGGGCATTGCGTAGAGAATGAGGACTTTGCGACAGACAGCCAGTTATGCAGAAGCTGAAGACGTTTATTATTTGAATGATGATAGCTATTTTGGTAATCTGCGTTCGAACTAGTAGGAGCTTTGATGACAAATGGAATAGAAATTGACTCAACCTGAAAAACACTCACGGATATTGCCATTATCAAATTGGCACCCCTACAACGCAATATGTATAGATCAATGATATAATGCCACCCGATAAAAATTATAACGAAATACCCGATACTAATGCATACCCGATTCTAAATGTTACTTGTGCTAACTAAAAGCCGTATGATATAGTCAGAAATACATTGAAGCATATTTAAATTTAAAACACCACCTGCCCAGTGCCCACCTGTGCCTTTGAGCGCTAGCTGAACTATAATGAGTAGAAAGTGCTAACTAACTAGGTTATCGCTGTGGATGTCGTTGAACCGGCGACCGGAGCCAGTTACGGATCTGCACAGTGTCGCTGCTGAGGATGGCGTCGACCGGTTGCCGCAGAATAGAGGAGATCGCCTCAGATGATGTAACAATGTCGGTCCGGAACTCAGAACTTAGAACGATAACTGGTCGTATAGAACGTCACCATTTTCACTAAGAACCGGAGGAATATCGCGAACTCGCATTGGAATTCCAGGCATCCGTGGTACCTATAGTACCTGCACGAATAACTTATCAGTCTCAGTAGCTAAGCGTATATCTAACAAAATAGCGCAATATTACTCAACATATGAACCAAAATTTTCCTGTATAGGTACCTGTGGAATTTGAATAAAGTTAGATTGATTTTTAGATGCAGTTTAGTTTCTTACTACTTTCAAGAACTGTTTTGTTTTATGTTTATATATCACTTCAGCCTCTCAGTCCAAAATATTACGAGTATGTTTGCCGTCTCGGAAAGCACAAAAAAACAAACATAATATTCATAACCATCATGAAAGTCACAAGCTATTATGCTAAGCTAGCGATGCCCATGTACCCATTGACACCGCCAGTCGCCAGACACCACGCGACGTCAAAGTCAGGTTTCGGCGAGATTAATGGTATAGGACGGAATGTGACAGGTTCCCGAACGTCCCAGTCACAAAATGATGGTGATATCATGGGCGGCTAAACCCAAAACTGGCCGTTTTGGCACTGTGGTGGCAACTGCGCGCCAGTACCGGTCCATACGGTGGTGCCAAAGTGTCGCCTCTGCACAGTGGTGCACTGATGTGCGCAGTGCACTCAGCAGCATCCGGCACGGTTTGGTTGATATGTTTGTTAAAACAGATACACGTACCGGGAAAATCTTAATTTATCTTTCCACAAATATCAGCAACATGAACGGATAGAAGCCTTTTCCGTCAAGCAATCCGATTAAAGCGTTCGTATGAAAACTGCAGTCCACGTTCTCGCCCACCGCTTTAATAATCTTGTACCCACCCACGAGGTCGAGTTTGCCAATAAAACCAATTAGCTGACATGTCCCATGCCGCTTTTGGCTTTTGTTTGTTTGTTTGTTTTGTTGGGTTAGGCCCTTTCGGTCCAATGAGACCATTTCAGAGCCAGGAGGATGATAGGATATAAGGGAAGACATTGGTCTGGACAGGCACCCTAGTGAGTCGCCGGGGCTGAGCCCGTCCAGAGGACAGGCCACCCAGCCCCAAGGCACTCACTGCACCCGGCTACGGGGTGCGCTCCCTCGGGAGCAGCGGTGCCGCTCCAAGGGAGCAGCCCGCATGAGATAAAGTTGCCTGTCTAGCCCGGAGGGGGTTGCGGCGTGGCCGGAGGAGAAGGATTTCAGTATCCTGAGGATAGAAGCACGGAACGGTGATTTTTGCTTTCCCAACGTAACTTTTTTAAAAGCTCAGCTGCGGCACTAAGTGGTGAGTATTATATTCAGCAAGATGCAACAATAAAAAGTGTCGACTATGCTAAGTTTTCATTGCAGTTCTCACTTTCAGCTCAGTGGACGTTAAAATACTCCAAGGATAGAATGTGTCATGCATGCGACATATCTTCATAGCCTCATTGACTGATTCATGAGAAACTTGAAACCAATAAGGGCCAATTCCATGTTTTATGCCGGTCATTAAATCAGGAATTGGAATGCCGTTAAGGCAAATATTCAATTATAAAGTATGTACTGGCAGGGTCGAGCCGGATTCAATGCAGGCCACCATGCATTCGAAATGCTTGGACATACGATCGTAAGATATAAACATGCTTTTTATCTTTGGAACCAATATGCCGAAACGAGGATATATATCCGAGGATGCTGAGATCGCAAGAACGAACCTGCGATCGGATGCGCCTGGACGGTGGTACAAAACCTCACGAGTTGTGCAGCCACGGGCCTTCGATGGATAACCCGATCTGCGCGACCTTCTGTTTCTCTCCGCAACACCGCCCGGTGCTCGGCGCTCGTCGGGCGGCCGGCCGCGGCAGCCCCTGAGGCTGACCTATCACCCCTGTTCAGCTGAGCCCGTGTCAGACTGTCGGCCTTGCCGGCGGTCGTCGTCGGGCCGTCGTCGGCCCCCCCCCCGGCCCTCCCCGCCCCTCCCCACGCGCGAATCACGTGCCCCCGCGCCGCGCAGCACCGTGCGGATGGCGACCACCGACCAGTTACGGCAGAGACCCGTTGCAGTCGAGCGGGCTGAGCCTGCACAGAGCGGTCAGCTGCACTGTCGGCTATACAGTCGGAATTGCGTCACAGGTCGACAGCTCGGCCACCAGGGAGCGCGTGAGCGCAGACCGAACCGGGATAAGTCTGCAAAACGTGAAATGGAGTCGACGGCCGGCCCGGCATAACACATCTGCAGTGATAGGATGGTCACTGGTCAAACAATTGGAGTACTAATGCCGGGCGTTTTCAAAATATGAGTAATTTACCGTGTATAGCAGCTGCCTTGACTAAGAACAATCAGCAAAACAAATTGTTTTGTTGAATGTTCTTAACAATCTGCTAGCAATTGGGAAAAACTTTAACACTTAGCAGGGAAACAAATGAACCATAGATAATTACTGAATATTTAGAACTCAACATCGGACCACGTACGCCACCAAAGCATCAAATACTGCGCCAGTGAGCGTTAGTGGGGGCATTTCGACACCGAATTCCTGCAGCGACTGGGCAGCTGGTTATCCCTCCAACCAGAAATAGTTGGGTTAAATCTCTAACTGAGACCGATTCAACGCACCTAAAAAAGTTACTTTTTGTAGGATATTGAAAGATACATGTACATAATATATATATATATATATATATATATATATATATATATATATATATATATATATACAAGTTTCTATATATATATATATATATATATATATATATATATATATATATATATATATATATATATATATATATATATATATATATACAGACAGACAGACAGACAGACAGACAGACAGACAGCCAGACAGACAGACAGACAGACAGACAGACAGACAGACAGACAGACAGACAGACAGACGGACAGTCGGACAGACGGACAGACGGACGGACGGACGGACGGACGGACGGACGGACGGACGGACGGACGGACGGACGGACGGACCCGATGACATGAAGTGCTGTGCAGCGGTTAGAACAGGAACCGGATCAGAGTCGCCGGCTTTCGCCGTCACTCGGATGCCATTATGAGCGGAGGGTGTTACTCTCGGTAATGGCGGTCGCCACAGCTCCCTGCTATGATTCATGACAACCGGTGCTAGCGCCCGGCTACTGCCCGGTAAGTAGCAAAATTAGGGAAATTAGCAAAATTGCATGTGTGCGGAATATGAAATGCCTCAGACGGCCTCCCATAATTTCTGGGTAATATTTAACATCAGCAATTACAACGCGGAGCTGTTTTTAACGTTACGAAAACACGATGGTAAATTCAGCAGCCAAAGTCGGCATTGACACTGGGCTGAAAAGCGAACGCAAGATCATATTCTTTTCCTCAATCAGCAAACGTTGGTTTACCTGTTGTGTTGCTAGAATTGTCCTTACATAACTGAAACCTCCGTACACGCAAACCAATTAATATCTATATTAAGTCCGGCGGTCAACAGACCAGTGCTGTTAGGAGGTAACTGACAAGTCACGGGTGGCTGTAAAAGCCAAAAGGAAACTTGGTATGCCACATCGAACATGGATGCACATGATCCAGGAGCTAGATTATGCATTGTAAGTACAATCATTACTTTGTTTAATAATGTATCTAGATTGGCAGTTGCAATTGAAACTATGAAAAAAACGCCGAGCCTGTCGTGTTCAATGTCCGCGCAGAATGCACAATACACGCGGCCTCAAGGAGGTCGTAGCAATTGGGCGCAGGGGACGCTGCTTTTATAGATGCCTTGGACGTTAGGGATCCGACATTGTCCGGCGTCAGGGTATCGATTCAAATATCTTAATGTGACACAGTTTCTTCATTTATGTTTCAAACATCTTATATGGCAAACTGAACAGATTTTGTTGATGCCGCACGTGATCGACCTGGTTCAAGCGGTCCATTCGACGATATATGGCCTGTGAGTGTGACTTGTGCGTGCTGAGCAGCAATGAATGGATTCTTTTGAGAAGGTTTTAGTATTGACAGTAGACAGTGACACGGTGATAATATGACAGCAGTTATCAAAGCAGTTGGTACTTCAGCAGCTAAATTAATCCCTACTACACTGCATTGTATTTCATTTTGCAAATCATAACGCAACATAGCGAAATTTCACATCACACATCAATTTCACATCACAGAACATAACCCGGCACCGCCTGGGCTATTTTCGTACCCACGACAGCCTGGGGGGTCGGATCCGACCCCCCTGTTATCTCGAGAACCAATGGTCGAGATGGTCGTATCGAGCCCCACGGGGCGGCGTTCGAAAGGTCTCTACGAGACCTTCCCAAAGCACTCTTAAGATTTTAAGATTGAGGTCAACTTTCGGGTCAAGGTCAGGTCAAAAGGTCAAATTCTGGGGTTTTGCATGATTAGGCTTACGGACAGCGGGATCGATAGCTGCTGCTCGAAACTCACCAAAAATGACCTCAAAGACCTATTGAAGGTACCATGTGCGTATAGGGGTCATACTAAGTACGGGTCAAGGTCAGGTCAGGTCACGAAAAGTCACGCTTTTCGCTTTCTGCTACATGGGCGTGCGACACATGTTTTATGGCTTATTTTTCACAACGAATCCGATGGTAATGTTTATATGTAATCCCCAGGTCACTGTGCTGGTGATAAGAGTGCATTGAAAGCATAAAAATCGTTTATACCATACATAACTAAACGAGGGCTAAGAAAAAGTCAATTTTTCAACTTTTTATTTTTGACATGAAAATGCACTTTTCTAGACGAGCTTTGTCCCAGGAATCTAGTGGTGCCATTTGTTTTTACATTCGGTGTTCAGAAGTGTCTCTAATTCACGAAAATGCTTATGACGTCACCATGCCCTATGCATGTTGGAGCTATTTTTTACAATTTGGGGGTCAAAATTCAAGTCAGAAAGCTGAAATTTGGGACATCTAATGTTCTAATAGAGCTCTATACCATATATTCCGGTTTTTGGATTTTGGAAGTTCTCAATTTTATTAGCTGTTTTCCAAAAAATACAGTTTTTTGAAGTTTTAGGGGTGAAACACGCATTTTATGGAACATCCGAGATAGCCATTTTGAAGAACTCGTTGAGCTGCGTCTACTCACGTTATTAATTTGCAATTTGCTTTAAACCTTGATTTTTGGCGATTTTTCAAACATTGACCACTTTACATCACTAAAATCGATATATCTAAAAAAATTGGAAAATTTTCTTAAAAATTACACAGGAGACGTCAAATTGATGGGGGAGAAGGTATGCCAAGTTTCAAGTTGATAGCGTAAGCGGTTCATGAGTTATTCGAGAAAAACGGAGGGGGGGGGGTCGGATCCGACCCCCTCCCAGGCGGTCGCGGGATAAGCATATGTTCTGAACTTATGTGATGGGAAAGGCAAGTCTCGTCAAAACCTCATCACAAAACTCATCACGAAGTATCTCATCAGAGACACCTAGAGGTAGTTTACGCACTGCGTAGTTATATCCTTATTCCTTTATATAGACAAAAATAAGTGACATGAAGCTGGGCTAGTGGAGTACCCGCAAAGGTAGGCATTTAAGACTTGTTGATTCTTCGTGCAATGCCATTGCACCAGCGAATGACATGTTTTGTCAACATATAAGTACGCTATGACACCGATGCCGGTAAAAGATAGTTCGGTTCTTCACCTTTGCTTATTTCTGAATTATGTTAGGGCCCCCATGCCATTTTATGCGGCCATCACATTGATTGGCTAATAACATTTATCACCCAGATGACAGACAGGACCTCCTTCGGCACATGCCATTAGAACCAACCGCCTGGTGCCTGTTTGACAATAAGCTTAGCCGTTTGGCCATCAGTACCACCTACCATTCGCCGGTAATGCCAGATGAAATATGAACACAACATCCAGCAATAAATAAAATACCTACCACGGCGATGGACCAGCTTGTGAGTTGATTCTGTCGGTTCTAGGAACATTCGGCTGACGTTGCTGACATTTACGTGCCGTTTTCGTGGTGACGTGGCTGCCGAAATGGTGACTGTTGTCGATCGTGTATCGTTGACAACTTCAGACATATTCATATTTGAAATTAAACGTATTGTGCGAGTATGCTGTGTTCAATAACACTCAAAAATGAAAATATGAAATTGTTTTTTTTTTTCTTATTAGTAGCCGGTCGCTTCGCTGAAGCTGGAGACGGCTCTCAATTCAATACCTATACGCCATTTCCACTGCACTCTACAGGTCATATCTGTATTCTGAATTATTCTATTTAATTTTCAAGTCCGCAAATAACTTCATGGATTGTATATGCTCTTTTCAACTATGAATAAACATTGACTGCCTCAGCAGCCTGTCATCAATCATTCAACATTTTCTCCTCACTGACCCGAACGACTTGCTCTATTTTAAGTAGAGCCAGTGCATGGCATCGGCTCTGTCTGTAAAAACATGCGGCTGTCATCGGAAGCCGTCTCGCATATGGTAACAGCGAGCGCCGACCAAAGGTCGTTGGGCTCCGCCCACGCCTGTCCGACCTCCGGGCCCTGCCTCACACGGCGCTGCATGCAGCTGACAAGCACGACCTGACAAGGACCGGGCCGGGGCCGTTTGACACAGCCACCGGCCGCTGCCAATGGGGCCCTTGTTGGCAGACGGGATGGCAGCACCACTGCCGGCCGTTATATAACTGAGTGGAAAAGTTGATGCCTACTGTTAATGCTAGATGCTGGATGGGATCGCAACCGTTGAATCGGGATCTAGTGTCACGCACTCTCTAATTAGCTATATGTATTGTTTGGTAGAATTAAAAAAAAAACATTATGCGTCCAATACCGAATCTCTTCGCAGATGCTGGATGCCAAAATAATGATCAACGAGGAGCCTTGCAACACAAGTCAATTGGACTGACCAGCGTTTTCGTAGATTTCCGAATTTTGAAAACATTTTCTCTCATGAAAACATTTTTTGATCAGTTTTTCTTCCTCATGGATTAGGTACCGATTTTTTTCTTTTATTGTGGAAGTTTGAAACCTTCTGTCGCTTGTGACATTTCCGAGAGTCTTCACCTGCATTGTATTCTTTAACCTCTCTCTGACGTTTGTCGGCAGGCGCTGAGCAAGAAGGAGCACAAGAACGACGGTCTGGCGGGCGCCGACAGTCCGGAGCCGGAGGACTTTCCGGCTCCGGTGCAGCAGGAGCCGCCAGCGGCCAAGTACAACCACTACCAGCGCCTGATGCACCCCGGCCTCAACAGGGTGAGATCACGGGGGACGCAGTTGGTGGAAACTGGGCTTTATTGGTGAACTAACTTCCTACGCCTGATGCGTCCCGACCTCAACAGTGTAAGAGCGAGGGGACACAGTCAGTGGGAACCTAGCTTTATTGGGTGGTGAACGGACCTTGACAGGCTGGAAAAATCAGTTAGCTGAAGTCTCAGAAGTTGGTAGAGATGCAATGAGATGTAGGGGATGCATCTGTACTGATTCCCTACATTCCTCATTTGTACTTCTGGAAAGTCATTTCAGCACGAGCCTGCTGCATTCGGAGTTATAAATAGTCAGATTAGCTGACCTATACCATCTCGCTGGGGGAGGCCGTACAAATATACACACAGTGGGGCTGTTGAGCGCACGGCTGATGGAGTCGGCTCTGTGGGAACGCCTGCAGCTGACGAGCTGTCCGACTGTCCAGACTGAATGTGACTGATATTACGACTGGATGCAACTGATACCACGACTGAATGTGACTGATGCTGCGACTGAGTGCGACTGATAAGTCGAACTCTGATGTTCATTCCGGCGGCCAATATACCTCTCGACGGTCGACGAGTGATGCAAGAGCTCTCTCCCCGCGCTCTGCGCGAGAGAGGACGGATGAAACATGGCCTGAGATCATGCAAATCGAAGTGGGACTCCATGATCGTTAGGAGAGCTAGTACAGCAACTCTGCTGCGCATTGCACAGGTCGTGAGTGAAGGAAACTCACTCCACCGTCGGTCACTGTTCAAGCCGAATTGCGTGGGAGTGTTTGTCCCGTTCCAAGGGAGCGTGATTTACGAGTGGCAGATAGTGATCACGCTTGCGACTTGACTGGATGCTTAGACCAGCTACAGCGATTATCCGCAATCGCGATCCTAGTTAGTTCTTTGCGTCACTTTTTTCATTGATGAGCCCAACTTGTTTCGCCTTATTATCGATGACATCACTGTGATTGGTCATCACTTGGTGAGACCAGCTAACGGAATTCACACCGAGTGAAGATAACAATGGTACTGCGCAGATATGCTGCGCAGTCTCTGGACACCTAGCACCTGTTATCTTTTGAGGATTCACCTGCACGTGCAGGCGGGCGTTTTGAACCCAGATGCGGGTTCCGGCGGTGACGTTCAGACTCGGCTGAGGCTGCTGTGCCATTTGGTGCTCGAACAGGTAATAGACGCGGAACAGGCTCCGTGACAATTACTCTGGTGTTACTGACTTTAGGAGAGATGACATTTTTTGAGGCATTTTATATTTTATTTAAACTTTATCATTATCCTTTTGATGCTCGTAAATGTCTAACAAAACATCCCTTTCATTTCATTTGCAATCACACCTTTTCCCGAAGCCATATCAATGCTACCTTGCACGGAAAAATGCCACTCGACACATCAAACCCACTCGAACGCCTATATCACAATGGAAGTCTCGTCAGCATTACAATCTCACAACGCTCTGTGAGATACAGTCCCCCAGCCTTCACTAGCTCAGCATCACAACACGGGTACGGCCGCGAGTCGCGACAGTTCCTCGCCACTCAGCTCATGTGTCTCTCGATACGCGACCTGATTGCGTCGCTGGCGACGCGGGCGCCTGACGCCACTATCTTCCCCTTTCTGCTCACTGCGGTCCCACTCAGCATCCGCCAGCGGGGAGGGCTCGCGGAGGTGGCCGTCACTGCGGATATGGCACCTCCGGCCGCCGGTGACTTCCCCGTGACGCATGTGTCACCACAGACGTGACGGTGACGTGTGCCGCGCTGCCGGTGACGCGTCCAGCTGCGGAGACGCCTGCCGCTGATGGAGAGGCTAATCTGAGATGGTCTCAGATCAGTGGTCTGAGGTCGTCACTGCTGATTGGACGGAGTGAAGATGGTGATAAAAGGGCGAATTAGAGACTGGCATTGGTATGGGGGCGCAGCTTGATTGAACGTATCACACACACAAGTTTGTTCCTTTTTCTAGAAGTCCTTTTGGATTTTAAGCTTGGCTGTGAAATCAACTTCGGGGGGGGGGGGAGGAAGGGTTGACTAAAAAAATCCATTAACTTGAAAGGAAGTCAGCACAGACGAACAGATTGCTTCTTCTGATCAGACTAACATGACATTACGAATAAACAAGTCGATTAGACGCTGCATATGTTTGTGTCTAATGTAAAATAAACAAGAATTACCCAGTCATGTCTGGGCCGGACGGAACTTTGTCTTTGCCCTGCTGGTTGTCTTGACCTGACTGTCCTAAACAAAGCCAGGGCTGTTCAGGTCGGAGCTTTTGGACTATTAATATATCAATGCACAATTGGATATGCAACAGAACAGGAAATTGGGATATTCGTATTACATCAATTGCATGACGTAATTCATACGCAAGTAATAAACTTGACGGCAGTCAACTAAAGTTATGTTTTGACGGTAGTTATCAATTCAGCAAGCAGTTCGCAGCGGATGCCCAGCATAGAACTGTCGAAGTGGAAGCTTTCAGTTGAAATTTAGACATCTTGTATTCAAATGACATTTTTAGGTAATTAACGTATGCTGTTCTTTTATTAAGACAACGCAGTTGTTCAACACTAGATATTGTTGATGTTCTCTTTAAACACATTAATTATCAATGCTTCCTCGATATACCTATGACCATTACATCAGGTACGAGTTAGGAACGAGTTTAACCATGAAGGCTCTTGTAAACCATAAATAAGTGAACGTTGCTATCGAAATAGACGTATAGGTAGGTACCGGCGTGTGCATTCAACGTTATAAGTCTTCTAAAGCCTGAAAATAGAACAACATTCCTGCTTCAGACTTTCATTTGCTTTTGCTGGTGAGAGTTGATATAGGTACTGATAAATAACAAGCAAAAACGCAAGGCTGCCCCAGAATGGTCGTTGTCACAACAGTTACCTATCAGGACATGCCATGCAACAACTTATGTCTGCATTCTTTTTCATAGCGACACGGGTATATCGTGAGTACCTATACCAATATGCTATTTTCAGATTTGTAGGGTTAGGTTGGTGCCTTTTACGACGAATACACACACTCAGTAGGTAGGTACTGGTATGCCTACATAATGCGGGGAGTACTTTTTTAATCTATGCCCATTGCCCGGTCATGAGAGTTCTTACCCAGGCGCTCATCCTCGCGTGGAGCCCAATTGAAGCCGTCAGAGACCCTCTATCGCTCTCTACCTGTATGTACCCCATCCCCCGGACTGACCAGCTCGGCTGTGACGTCATCGGCCGCCCGAGCTGGGTTAATCTGCGCAGCAGCTGCTGACTGCTCGTGATGACGTCATAAGTCACCATATTGACGTCGTACTACATTGTCGGACAATGCGGCAGCATGCATCAGTGTCCACCGCACATGCTTACTGCGTCACTGCGGTCGTTTGACGTGCCTGATTGGCAGCTGTTTGGTGGATGACGTCAAATGGGCCGTGTCTTGACGCTGATTGGTGGCCACCGCTCATCCTATGACGTCACATTAGTGGAACGCCTGCAGCCTGGCGACCTTGGGTGCCATGAGCGGGCTCGTCGTGCGCCCGGCCGGCCCGAGGCCTGCCCGTCTGCCCAGAGCGTCTGCCTCCAGTCTCCCACTGATGAGCCTGGGCGAGGCGTGCCACACGGCTGGAGATCAGTTTGTTTATGTTTCTATCGGTGGCTAAACTTCTGGTATAGGGCTGTGGGGTATTTGTAGAGTCTGATACTAGGTCTGGCAGTCTGGCTGATTTAGGATAACAACCAGATGGAGCGGACGAATGCGGGATATCATTGCTGCTCTATCTTGTGTAGGAGCTGGTAGGTCTGCCGAGACCGTATCGTGTCCGTATGGTGCGGTCAGGAAATCCCGAAGAGCGCCGAAAGTTCACAGGAATCATATCAGGTCATATCAGTCATAGCAGTGGGCGCAAACAAGATCATGATTATAGATAGTCGTTACCTATGGTTCGTGACATTGAAAAGGCGGCAAATCATTGTATGGTCGGTTGTTGGTACGTAACGTGCAATGATAACGAGACCGTCTACTCCAACATTCACAATCTGACTTTACGCCCTAAGAGAAACATGCCTATCCGTACAGCGCATTTAACCGTCCATCACTTGCACTGACGTGGATGATAGTCTAGAAATGAGAAGGATGAATGGAATATATCTCCTCCTCCCTGTGACTTATCTAACCGTATTCCCCCGTTCTTCAGAAGAAGGACAGCCCGGCAGGAGGACACCCATTACCGAGTTACCCCTCTGACCTTATAATGTCCCCCTGTTCCTCAGACGGAGGACAGCCCGGCAGGAGGACACCCATTACCGAGTTATCCCCCTGACCTTATAATGTCCCCGTTCCTCAGACGGAGGACAGCCCGGCCGGAGGACACCCATTACCGAGTTATCCCTCTGACCTTATGTTCCCTGTTCCTCAGACGGAGGACAGCCCGGCGGGAGGACACCCATTACCGAGTTATCCCTCTGACCTTATAATGCCCCCTGTTCCTCAGACGGAGGACAGCCCGGCGGGAGGACACCCATTACCGAGTTATCCCTCTGACCTTATAATGCCCCCTGTTCCTCAGACGGAGGACAGCCCGGCGGGAGGACACCCATTACCGAGTTATCCCTCTGACCTTATAATGCCCCCTGTTCCTCAGACGGAGGACAGCCCGGCGGGAGGACACCCATTACCGAGTTATCCCTCTGACCTTATAATGCCCCCTGTTCCTCAGACGGAGGACAGCCCGGCCGGAGGACACCTTACCGAGTTACCCCTCTGACCTTATAATATCCCCCTGTTCCTCAGACGGAGGACAGCCCTGCAGGAGGCTATCCGTCCGCGGAGGACGGCGGACAGTACCAGTCCCCGGAGAACGGGCACGGCTCTCTGCTGCAGGCGGCCTCTCCTCCACTGCAGCAGCACTCGCTCAGTCCCCGTCAGATGCAGCACCACGCAGTCAGCCCTCGGCCCGGGTCATCACAGGGTGAGTGGTGGGGACAGGGACTGCAGCTGCCGTCCGGGCTGAGCTCTTAGACTGGAGAGTAGTTGGACCCCGGCCCGGGTCGTCACAGGGTGGGGACAGGGACTGCCGCTGCCGTCCGGGCTCAGCTCTTAGGCTGGAGAGTAGTTGGGCCCCGGCCCGGGTCGTCACAGGGTGATTAGTTCGAGACTGCGGTCTGTAGATACCGTCTGGGCTCAACTCTTATGGCTGGAGAGTAGTTGGACTCTTTTCACATGGTTGCTGAGGATTTTTTTTGCAGCTCTGAAATTGTTGGTGCTTAAAAGTTAAAAATAATGTTACTAAATCCGCGAATACAACTTTTATCTGGATCTCATCACGTGGTGTCTCTTATCACATTAATCAGACGCTGTCCGTCCCGATCTCCTGGCCTGACTGCCGCGTCCGTCCGCAGGTCTGCTCAGCTCTCCAGTACCGTACCCGTCCACCTCCACTCCGCCGGAGCCTCCAGTGAGCTCCAACGGCTCGCAGCTGAAGGCCGCCCTCGCCGGAGCCAGGCAGACCTCACCCGTGGACGTCGCAGTACGTATTAGCCGCTGAAGTGCAGCTACGGTGGCCGTAAACGGATTCTTTAGTGTCTCGCTGGCCGATGTTATAGCTCTACGTTAGTATGGTCTTGAAATATTTCAGGCATACCTACCTTGGGAAGTGTTTGCAATTGTGAGTTTTCATGGGCTTATGCGCGAGTTTTTTATATTGAGCAGCAACTGTGGGTACGGATGCGTGAGTTGCGTACTGGGCCTCGTTTCATAAAGCGAGTACGTAACTTACGCCGGTTTTTGGTCTTGTATTGCAAGTGCATGTGAAGCGATACATTTATTTCCCCTTCTCCATTCGTTCTTCCATGCACCATAAATAGATTCAACGATTCAAATTAACGTCATCGCTTCACATGCACTTGCAATACAAGACCAAGAGCCGCCGAAAGTTACGGACTCGCTTTATGAAACGAGGCCCTGGTTTCATCAGCAAACGAAGGCGTGATTTTGGTACAAGTACTGGTATATGCAGAGGAATGCCGGCTAACCAGCTTTAAACCGGATTCACATGAGACGGAAATAAAAATGAACAGGTGTAGCATTCGACTTAAATCTGGATTACATCTGCAAATCTCTCAAAATCATGCTATGCTTTGTTGAATCGCGTCTGGCGTACTGTTTATGCTGTGAAACCCTGTAAACCAGACACAAGCTCAGACGAACAGGCATGTGGTAAGATTGGGAGTACCTACAAACGAGTTTCTTAACTTGAGCAATTTTCCACAAAGTTAAAACGTTGTTGTTGGGATGTTTCTATTACCAGGAATTATGTATAGCGATTCAACGTTGGCCGGCGACTGCTTTCCTTGACTTGATCTTGGAAGTTGAGTGCGAAGTTGTTAAAATGGTTCGCTAGTTTTCATGCTTCAGATACTGGTGCTTGTTCATACATTTTCTAGCTTACATTCGATATTTTTCGCAATAATATTTACATTATTTCGATGTATATTGACGAGCGATTCAGTGCTGTCAAGCAGTCATGAAATTAATGTAATAGAAATGGAACATCAACATTGAGCTACGTCAGAACAGTTATTAAATATAGGCTAGCCACTATTTCCTCAACACGTCACGCTCTACATACTCGAGGGCAGCGCTTTTCGAGGAGCGCTGTGGCCCGAAGGTTTGAACTTTGAATTGTGAAAAACGCCCGCCCGCCGCAAAACGCAAACACCGCAAAACGCACGCCCGAAACGCCAACGCAAAGGTCGCAAAAAATAAACAAACGCCCGCCGCAAATCGCAAATAAAAAAACGCAAAAACGCCGCAAAACAATAAAACCGCCCGCATCGCACGCCCGCTAACCGCCAACCAAAACGCCTGAAAATCGCCCGCCCGCCGCCCAAAAAAAAAGCACCGCAAAAAAAAACGAAAAAGCGGCCGCCAACCGCAAACAAATTTAACACCGCAAATGACGCAAAAAAAAGAAAACCGCCCGCATCGCCCGCCCGCCCGCCCGCCGCCAAAGACAAACACCGCAAAAAACACAAAACGCCCGCCCGCCGCAAAACGTAAACACCGCAAAACGTGTAAAACGCACGCCCGGAAAGCCAACGCAAACGGCAAAAAAATCACCCGACCGCCGCAAACCACACAGAAAAAAAAACGCCGAAACGCCGAAAAAATAAAACCGCCCGCACCGCACCGACGCTAACTGCTAACCGAAAACGACTAAAAGTCGCCCACCAGCCGCCAAACGCAAACACCGCAAATAAGCGCCCGGCCGCAGCAAGATAATAATTTATCAGCGGCTGGCATACCGCTAGGCTGGTCATTTTCACAAATCAAAAAGATATCTGCAAAAATCTCCTAGATGAAAGCGCCCGATTAAAAACGGATGGCACGTGCGTGTTCCTCGCCCCCAACTTCCTTCAGGTCAATCGTCATTTGGGTCATCTAACGCATTGACGTATCTGCAAAAATCTCCTAGATGAAAGCGCCCGATTAAAAAACGGATGGCACGTGCGTGTTCCTCGCCCCCAACTTCCTTCAGGTCAATCGTCATTTGGGTCATCTAACGCATTGACGACCGGCTGGGTGGAATGAACATTGCGCCAAGAAACGTAAGTATATTGTCAAAAAGAATCCCCAGAATGGTGGATCCCAAAAGTTTGAAACTACCACTTTGGCCCACTGGACGACACCTTAAACAGTTGCCGACCGGATGACACCCATTGTTTGGTCACCCACGCCATAGTATGCATCATGGGTGCGCCGAAATGACCAAAAGTCCCAATTTCCGGTGTGCAGGGTCATTTTCAACGGCACGTGGCACGTGGTTCTGGACTTTTCCGGCCACTTTGCGACATACCCATGGGTAGTGCACCGAATGGTGGTTGATCTGCATGTAAGAAAATGGGGGGTCGTTTGGATCGTTTTCGAGCAATCTGCCGTGGAACGCATTTTTTCATTTTGCCCATTGGCTTAAAGGTAGTGTGCCAGCTTTCTTGGACCGTATGGAGTTAATGGCCCAGATAAGGAGAACCGGATTTTTAGAACTTATCCATACCTTCAAAACTCATGGAAACGTCTTAAATTCTTCAAATTTTGAGTACCCCAGTGCGAAATTCGCCCCGACGGGTTGTCGGTCGTACCCCAACCACATTTCACACCACTATGAACAATAAATGCACACACTGAAATCGCTATTACCGATATGCTCATCCAATCAAGTTTCGACAAACCCGTTCATCATCAGCTCCTGCGGTTTCGAACACGCCTGTTACGTGGTGCGGTAGACCACGCCCAAAGCCAGGGCCCCGGTAACGTGAGGTAGCCGAGTCAGGGCAACGTGCGCTGACCCAAGCCGGAGCCGCGCGTCCTCCCGGTGTCATGTGATAGCCCGGGGCTGCCCGCAGGGATGCGGTAGACCGCGCCCAAAGCTGCGGCCCCGGCTTGGGTCAGCGCACGCTGCCCCGACTCGGCTACCTCACGTTACCGGGGCCCTGGCTTTGGGCGCGGCTTCTGCTCATACTTTGTGGTGTGGTGGTGGTGCGTCGGGCTGCGCGCTCTGACTTCGGCCAAGAAAAATGCGTCAGCTGGTCATTGTCATTTCTGCCACTTGCGTGTGGTGAAATGGGGTCATAACTTATAAGACGGCTTTTTCATATCAATTTTTTTACATAAAATCATATTTCAAACCATAAATAATGTTCGACAGCCAAATAAAAGAAACAATACCAATACGGGCTTACAGTTTAAGGCTCGACATTGTGTTGTCTACGATTAGACAGCTGATAACTCATTCCCGTACGTCGTATGGTCGTAACACTATAATGACCTTTGCTTATTGTCACAAGTGCGCCGCATTCGCGATTGTTGCCCGACGCCTGTTTGCAGGTGAGCCCACTACAGTTGTTATACCGGGTGGCCCAGAAAAAACGTTCCGAACTTTGGAGGCCTATATATCAAATACAAGTACAAATAACGATCCAAAATTTTCATCAAGTTTGCGTCATTTCTTTGTGCATTGGTATGCCAAATTATAACACTATACCATCATTTTCAAGCTGGCAATCTTGAGTTGAATTAAGCAAGACGTTTTTGCTTTTTTTGCCGATGTCAAACGATAGTGATGATTGGGTTAGATGTCCCATGTTATAAAAAAAGAATAAAAAATAGAGAACGTGAATGAAACCAACACTTATTTTCTTATTTTAAATATTTTTATCTCACTTATGTGCCACATATTCAAATACTGAGCCAAAATGGTGCTCATGGATGCCATTCGTTTCAACACCAAATCATGTTTCGAGCAGGAGTGGCACGGTGCATGGATTACTGCTGATTACCCTCCTTTCAGTAGATCAAACAGTAAATCGACCGGATAAGGAAAACAAACTAAAGCAGATTGGTTCCTGTGCCAGAAGACCACAGAATAGCTTATGAAAAACAACATTGCCAGCAGATGAAAAAAAAACCTGGTTGAAAAGCTACCTTTTCCCAGGAATGTCAGCCAGGAAAGCATTTGAGCCACAACATGGTTAGAAAACTGGAAACTTCTTCCCGATGCCGCTGGCACAGAGCCATCGTGGTTGCCTGAGGGAATGTGTCATCCTGAGACCCGAACCATCAATGAGACTAGCTGCCAGTAGAATTCATGGCTCTAGTCCGCAGTGCCGCGGGGTGAAAGTGACCCGTTCACTCACATCTTTTAGCAAACATCGGAGCAAAAAAGTAATTTTTACATGGCATGATTGAAACACGAACCATTTGAAAAGTAATTTACCGAACACCATGAAAATCACACCATTTACTGAAAATGTGTGCCGCATTGACTATTCGAAGTTTCAATGTTGTATCTTTATCACTTTCTGAGATATATTGATTTAAAGTTGGGAACGTTTTTTCTGGGCCACCCGGTACATATCTAAAAACCGATAAACTTTTAGGCGAAAAAGGCACTATTCCAGGCCCATTTTTGATTTTTTTTTTTGCGATATTAGGTAAAAACAGAAGCTTCTTATCCTAGGAAAAATAAAATGGGAAATCTTTCAAAGGTGGCACACTACCTTTAACACGGGAATTTTCAAAGTCACGTGGCACGTGCACCAGATGGTCCGCGGAGGGGAGACCCATACCAGAACGTAGATCACCTGGCCCACTAGAAATCCTGAAAAAATCAGAATTTTTGGAGCAGCCGTTCAGAGGCGGATCCAGCTCAGAGGTTTGGGGGGGGGCAAACCATAAAAATTTATCGATTCTTTCCATGCATCGCCCATAGGCGTAATGTTAAAATCATGCCGTTTGGGGGGGGGGGCAAATGCCCATTTTGCCCCCCCCCCCTGGATCCGCCACTGCAGCCGTTTTCAAGAGCATCAAGTTGTACTGATCTCAGGCAGCTTTTGCCAAATTGTCAGGGAACTCAGATTTGTTTTTCAATAGAAAAACACAATTCTAAAGAATAGTGTTTTAACTATTGACAACAAACCTTCGGTTATGATCGCTTTCAGTATGTGATGTAAGACGGGATACATTTTCAGCTATTGGTAGAGTAGAATTTATGCAACTCGTCGCAGCTGTATCCGCTGCCACTCTCGCTGAATCCGCGCCTGTCTGTGCTCCCCAGGTGTCTCGCGGTGGAGGTGGCGGCGGACCGCTCTCTGCCGAGTACGGCGGGTACCCTCCGGTGTGCGGTGCCTCCACCGGCGGCGGGCAGGAGTTCGGCGGCCAGGAGCTGCAGCCGGGCGGCCTGTCTGTGCCGGCCGGCTGGCGCACCGGGCCGCCGGGCCTGCAGCAGGTCCACCCGTCCCATCAGAACCACCACAGCCAGCAGAGCCATCAGAACCAGCAGCAGCACATGCACCACCACAGGTGAGCAGAGCGCGCCCCACCGGTCCCACTAAACCCAACAATCCCACCAGTCCCATCAGAGCCAGCAGGGACACCAACACTATCACATTCACCACCACAGGTGAGCGCGTCCCACCAGTCCCATCCGTCCCACCAGGCCCACCAGGCCCAGGACTGTCCCACCTGTCCCACCAAAGCTAGCAGTCCCACCATTATGCTACCGCAGGTCCATTGAGACTCAGCAGCAACAGGACCACCAAAGATGAGCGCGTGCCCTCGTCCCCTTTATTCGCATCCGTTCCATCGCCGCAGCCACCCCATCGGTCCAAATAGCCTTACTTTTCCCACGGACATTATCCTCGTTAGTCGCACATGCGCCATTGTTGACAGAAGGGTGTGAGTGATAGGATAGGTATACCGCATTCCTTGACCTATCATGTTTAACAAAACTAAACATGACTAAATGGTCTCCGTTACTTGTCCACCCTGCACTCATTAATTAGTTATTTACCGCCTTCCCTATCTAGCGTCATCCTGGAAAAGTATAAACTAGTATATCGTGAGGCATCGTAATCAGCAAAGATAAGGGAAACTCGTGTCGCTCGGCTTTTCCCTGTCATAGCGCAGGGGAACCAGGAATCCGGCAGTGGAACCAAAAATAGAACCACAACTGACAGGTGGATAAAGGCAGTCGCCTTTAACCTGCTCCAGGCCGGACGAAAATAGTGCTCAGGCTGCACTGTACCCTACCGACCCGCGGTTACTGTTATATCCCCGAAGTTCTGTCCCGCTGAATAAACCTCTCTTCTCGGAATACGATGATGAACGAGGGAAAATGCGCAGTTAGCCTCGCCATTGCAGGATATCTCTCAGTTGAGTGTTGTTTGGTCACTTCAGGATCCTTGACGCGGCCCAGAGTAGGTTTGCCTAACCCGTGTGCTGCTGCCAATCCTATTCGCGCTCTGCGGGGGTTCGGCGTCCTCTTATCATTGTCTCGGACGAGGTGTTATCGGGGAAGCACTCCGAGCGCCACCATGGGCGCCGGTCACGTGGTCGCCTGTATCGGCGCCCGTACCGGTCACGTGATCGGATGTGGTGTGCCTGTGTGTCGTTCAGTGTGGTCGCTATTGACTCCTGACGATCGTTCAAATGGCCGATAACATGAGGCGCCTGTCATGGACACCGCAACACAACTGACGCAACGCTGCAGAACAGACACCGGGGCAGCGCTGCAGTGTGATGGGACTATTTGTGTTATAGCTGTTTGGGTGCTACCTATTTTTACGGGGAAAACTGATTTACTTATTTAACGTGTTTAAGCTGGGCTATAACGGGATGGGTGATATCTCTTTTGGTTATATAACATGTTGAAGACGTCGTGTTTGGGCTATATCTGGGCTGGCACGGCGAGACGGTTACCGTGCCCAGGTGTAGCATGTCACTAACTCTGTGATCAGTAACTGTTCGTTCAGTGTGCTGATTTCGTATTCGAGTGTTCGTGTATTAGCGCTGTATCTTGGTGCTGCACTGTATGTACCACCGTATCCTGGCGTTACAGTGTGTCGCTAGTGCCGTGCAGGCGTGCTTCGGTTTGACCTTACATCATATTTGGGTGTTTTCGGTGTGACCTAACCCCTTGTTGTGGTGCTTCAGTGTGTTAAACTCCGTTCTCGGGTGTTTCAATGTGACCTAACGCCGTGTTCTTGTCTTTTAATTATCTTACACTATATCTGTTTCGATGAGCTCACACCGTATCCTGTGTTTGTCACCGTCCTCGGGTGTTTCAGTGTGCTCACACGGTCACACCGTATCCGTGTGTTTTAGTGTGTTTGGCACCGTTCCCGTGTGTTTCAGTGTGCTCACACTGTATCGGTGTGTTTCAGCGCGTTTGTCACCGTTCTCGGGTGTTTCAGTGTGCTCACACGGTCACGCCGTATCTGTGTGTTTCAGTGTGTTTGTCAACATTTTGGGGTGTAGCTCACACCGTATCTGTGTGTTTCAGCGTGCTCTCGATGGGCGGCGGGCCGTGCCTGTCACCGTCGCCGGGCGCCGGTGACCGCTCACCGCTGTCGGCGGTGAAGACGGAGCGCTGCTCGCCGCCGTACAGGGAGCGGCTGGACGTGCACGCGGGCCACCCGGGCCTGCGGCTGGCACCGGACGGCCATGGGCTGCAGGCACCGCCCGGCGCCGGCCTCGGACACGGTCAGTAACGGCAGACCAGCCGACACGGCCAGATTAAGGTGTTTTAAACGAGAATTTTTTCAATCCACGGCTGTCAGACTATGGTACTGGGAACTGTTACCGGTTGTGGCGGGTGGTGATGGGAAAAATGACCATCATCCTGCAATTTTTAATAAGATGTGCGAATGTGAGTGACAATCTGATTAGCCACCTACGAGATGGATTAAAATCCGGCTCGCCGACCACTGCACGACTGTAAGGGCCTGCGCACTATTTCACCTGAACTTAACATCAACTGCATTGCGCAGTCCGAAGTCCAATGTAACTTACTTGTGTAGCTAAATTAAACCCGGAACAATGAACTGTTTTTAGAGCATCAAGGAAACGTGTCTCATGAACTGCCTGTTTTAAATTAGTTTACCGTTCATTTCACACTATTGTATCCAGTCGCACCAAGTAGCGCGAGGAAATAAATCCGTTTTTGTCCTAGCTATCGCAACGTTGCCATGGCATAGGTTGTCAGCTCCCTCTTGCAGCGTCGGCTTTGCCACGACTTTCCACCATTTCGTGCAGTAGCAGGTGTGCCCTGTCCCTGCGTTGTGCCCGTCTGACTGTCTGCCCGTGCTGTCCACAGGACCACCGCAGCTGGGCCGCCGTCCGGTGCCAGGCAGTTTCTGTCTGGACTCCACCGACCCTTCTCTGCAGCACGAGTCGGGCCCGCTGCACAAGCGGCCGCGTGTCTCCGAGACATGGGTCACCTAACTGGCGAGATGCATCCGGTAGGGGAGTGCGAGGGATTTCGGCCGGGCTCGGGAGAGTGACCCGGCCCGGCCCGGCTCAGAGAGACAGAGATGACCTGGGGTCGCGCCTCGGTCTGATACGGGTCGGCCAGCGGCTCTGAGCGGCGCCTTAGCTGTGCGGGTGGGCAGGGTGCACCCGACTGATGTGTCTGCCGCCTGTCCCGGCGTCTCCGGGCCGGCCTGCCGCGGGCTCTTCGGGTGCGCTGACCGTGCCGCCGAGGGACCTCACGCCGTCCGTTCCCCCGTTACGATGGCTTCACTGTACAAACTGCTACCTGCTGGAGGGCGGCGACCGAGTCGCGGCGCGCGGCTGGCCGGCCTGTCCCACACCGACACCTCTGCAGCCGAGGGAGGGGGCGCTGCGGCCGGGGATTGTGATGGACTGTGTTCACGTGTTTAGTGTGCTCCCGGTGTTGGCTGGCCTGCGTTGGTGGAGTGTCGCGCTGCGGGTTCACGTCCACTGTTCGAGTGAGCCCATTTAGTGGTGATTCAGAGCGTGTGTTGGGAGCTGCTGACGCGACAGCGCTCAGAGCCACGCTACGCGCGTATCCATGGAAACCTGCATGTCTTGTAGAAACCGAAGGATACTATCCTCGTGTGCTTTTCTGTGTTAATGTGCTTCTCATAAGTGTTTCCACCCGAATTCTGTATGTAGCTGTCTTATCCCTATGTTGTTGGCGAACACTTACCTACGCACAATAGTTTTATGAATTGACAGGATAGTTCCGCTGATTTAAGGTTATGTTGATTGATATGACTGCGTACTTCTTTTGTAGTACGGGGGATGCATTCTTCTTTCCTGTTATCTTTTATTTGTGAAGGTTTCCTCCAAGCGAAGTGTGGATGTACTCTTTCATTGAATCATGCATGCACAATGTACATCGCATGTAAATCTTAAACGCTAATGTCAACGTAAAAGCCTGCATGCCAACACTATTAAAGGAAGATGAAAGTACGGGGCTGTGAACCATACTGGTGTGGTCAGTACTGGAAGATGGAGGATGAATAGCCCGCGCACACCAAGGTTTTGGATCTTTGTTTTGACTGGTGTATTCTGAAGTGGTTTTGAGAAAAATTTTAAACTTTATTTTAGAGGTAATACGAAAAATATTCGTTAGAAATATGGATAGGTAGGTAGTCAACAATCATTTGTCACCTTGGCTGATACATCGTCCACTTTGCTCTGGTAATTTTATGTACTTACGTGCTACACAGCAAGCCTTTTCTTTATTCGTACTTCTTGGCCTTTTGGGTTGAAATTTGCATCAATGATTGCGCTGGACAGCTTTGACGGGCTCTAAACGGTCCAGTGGCTGTGAAAATGTTGAAGGTTACGGGGGAAAATGTTACGGTTAGCAAAGTTCAATATAGAAAACGGGTCAACGCTCCAAGCGCTTCATCAAGTCGTTAATTGCCGTTTCTTTCAGACGTCAACTGATCGATTTACCCTACATCAATTACAGAATCACAAACAATAAACAACACGCGCTTCAATTTTCAAACAGGATTGAAACATTCTGGTTAAATCAACGACATTGCTTGCATTTGCTATATTACCATGTCACAAGATTGCTCACGTTTGCAACCGCTCACTTCTGCTCACAAAATACCGCAGTGTCACCCGAGATGGTTGTTATTGAAACGGGTGAAGACTTCCATGTTACAAATGGCTGATGTACAGCAAGGCCCTCAACTAAAGTAGATATATATTATATAGTTAGAACGCATTGCCCATCGACATGAAAGTTGCAGTTACTACGAAGTCATTTGTTGACGAATGAACCTTGTGTAAAATCATGCGAAGGCCCGTTCCGACAGTGTTGCGGGACAACCTTTTCTCGGGACGATGAAAATGTTAACATTTATATCAGAAAGTGTGGAATGGTCTCACATTATGAAAAACCTGATGTCCAGAGCCCCGGTCCATTATATATATGTTTCTCGGCCCAGTGGTTTGATTTGAACGTCTCAATATGCGATGCTGAAAAATGCCATCGCAATTCGTATATTTTTGCTTTTGATCCTCGAGTGGCATTTGCACTTTATTCAGTTGCTGGTAACCACCGGCCCTTTTCATGAATAAGTAGGTATGCGTAAAAGGAGTCGAGTTATTTGATGGGGAGGGAGTACCTATCGGTTCAATTTTTCAGATTGTATTGATGTTGACGCCTGTATTACCGATGCGTTCACCTTCCATGGGAAGGAAGTTTACACCTCGACGGGACAACTCCTATTCAGAAGCCAAGTGGCAACTGCTCGTGCTAGTTCGGGAGCTCTGCTTGATAGTTTCGCTTCATTCTGTGGCTTCTTTTCAAGTGCTTGATTTCTCGAACGGATGTGACTTTATCTGTAGCCTGGATTCCCGTGCATTTATTTGTTACTGTGCTGTTGCTTTGTTTTTGCAGAAATACAATGTACATGGTGGAATGCATCTTGTGACCGTCTAGTATGACGTTAAGCTATTATTATTTTTTTTGTGTTTGAGTTTCTGGCAAACCAGCACATCACATCAAATTGAGGCTCAGAGTTACTTGGGGGCCCGACCAGGAATACAGTAGTTCCGACGCTTCTGTCTGTAGCGAATTATTTGATTACCACATTACGGTTTAAGCTGGTTTAGCAGCTTACGGACGGCTATTAAACCGTTACCGGTCAATGTTCGCTCTCTAAAACAACAGTATTAGACCAGTCTCAGCTCGTTACACCCGTCTCTGTAGCGATTTCACGCCCCCGCGCCGTTCGAAGCATTATATGTCACGTGTTTCTCGTATGACGTGGGCCTCGGCTCACTGTGCGCCAAATAATTTGAACAAATGAACCGGAACTGCAGGACTGGAGGGGCGGAAGGGGTGCGTTTTGAGCCATCGACCAACCAGGTCACCCCCTTCAGTTGTGCTGTCGAAGGAGGTAATTCACCCTCCCCGTTACCGGCAGGTGGTTGACAAGTGAACTGTTGACAAGTGAACTCTAGACCGCCGCTCCGGCCCCCGTGGCCAATCCTTTAGGTCGGCAGACGTTATCCTGCGCAGGGGGGTCGTCCGGCGGGTGGCATGGGTGGCAGGAGGGGTACCACGTCCGGGGCGCCTGATCACTGAGTGCGCCTCTGCGCGACACGATATACGGTCCCACGGTGTCCGGTCGACCCGCTACTTATCGCTCTGGGGAGAACTGGTGAACCGCAGACCCCCGCCAGGATGTTTTTTCCGCCTCCCCACGGCCCGGTGCGGACCGCCGATGGGGTGATCAGCCGGCCATTGCGCCTCAGCTGCCGTGAAACGGAAGCTGGGGTGTCACAGGGCACATGTAGCCCCGGACGTTCATGTAGTTAAGCCGCATCCACGGTTGTTAGAACTAGATCCAAGATAATTATATGTATTTACTATAGGGGCATGTGTTTCTCTCGGAAGGTTGATCACATAAAACAATGATCTCATTATTACGAGCATTAATGGATTGTCATGCCTATACCCGGACGTTCTAGACGGTTCTCCCCTGACTCCTATTCCTACCTAAATAATAATTATTAATTAAGTACCAATACACCTTTACCTATATACGTTGAACGCATGGAAACGTTTAACTACCCTCAGAAGGTGTGGAAACTCAGGACCCAAATAGCTGACCTCTTGCAGTCATGGGTGACCACTGATCAGTGACAGCTGACCTGACAGCCTGGCAGCCTTGATAGCTGCCACCGCTGCCCCCGCGAGTAGGAGAATCGGTCTGTGCAGGGCGCCACCTGGTGACTGGTTCACTAGCTGCAGTTCCTCTCAGTGGCACCAGTGGTGCTCGCCGCGGTGGGTTCACCAGGGCCTGAGGGTTGGTCGGAGTCGGCGTCTAGCGTCGGATGGGCGTGGCTCCATAACGTCAGCAGGTGAAGGTGGATTATAGGTGGACATCAATAGCACCCGGGTGGATATAAGGACAGGACTATCATGCTTAACACTTGAACATTCAGTGGAATTGGGTAGCTGTAGCAGTTAGCTGAGCCTTTTGTCGAAAGCCAAAGGGCGTCGTATGACAGAAGGGAATATATGGGAAAACAAGGCCATCTATTAGCTGCTGGACCTGTGCTGTGAGACAATTAAATCCTCATCATATGTCTTACCGATTAATTGTTACCGTGCGATGCAGCAAGAAAACGGGTGAGCGTACCTACATCAACAACAGCTTTAATAGTGGTGCCCGTAATGAATGTTTTTGTACCTATATCAAAAGATAGATTACTGCATTGGGTTATCAGACCATTTGATAGGTCAAGCAGATCAACTTTCCTCCATACCCTGACTCCCGTTTATGCGGCGTAGCACATAAACCAATATTTTTCAACCATAGCTCTGTCGCTTGACTCTCTAACCCGAAATAATGCTAATATATGTTAGGTTGGTACCTTTTGTCAGGTTTTTAGGAAATGTTATGCTAGGCAAATTATACATGCATATTTAACCCTATTCCTGGCGGGCTCCGCCGGGACAAGAAACTGGCGGGGGGGGGGGGGGCCGATTCGGCCCCCCCTGAGATCTTGAGAACGAAGCAAGATAGCGACAAGCGGTAAACGGCATCGGATACGCACGGCCAAGATCTACAATTTTTACTGAGGTCATTTTCAGGTCAGGTCAAAGATGACGTCACAGGGGTCGAAAAAGTCAAAATGACGGCACTAGATATGGAGAGAGTTTTTCTCGAATAACTTTCGAATTAGTCAAGATAGGAACAAACTAAGGGCATCATCGTGATCCTCTCGTCAATCCGCATCGAATGATATATATGTTGACCTCGAAAGGTCAAGGTCAAAGGTTGACCTCAGGTCACGTGACCTCGAGGTCATCATGTATATCATTCGATGCGTCTTGACGAGCTGAACACAATGAGACCATCCACGCGTCTGTATCTTGTTCCTGTACGGAGTTATTGGCCAAAAACCTTTGGTGACCTTTGATGACGTCACATGACCTCACAGCTGCCCAACAGCAAAACAGACCTCAAGGTAGTGAAGGTTGATCGTATATGAAGTCATGTATGGTATATGGGGCCATTCCGACCCGTTTTAGTGGTAAAAACAGGGAGTTGATTTTTCCCCCATTGACTTATAATGGGGAGGTCGCGAAATTGACCTGACCTTAGGTCACCGATATCAAAATTCCGAGATATACAAATTGCACATACTGGTACCCTAACTAAACCCTGAAGAGAAGAAATTGATCGGTCAAAAACTCTAGCTCTGGCGTGATTGCAAACTTTTCTGAGGTAGCGTCACCAAACCGCCTCTGGTGACCTGACCTGAGGTCAGATCAACTCAAAATTTTCAGACATGTTGCGTAGAAGCCTTTTAGGAAAAGTCAGAAAATTTGAGCTTCCTAGCTCAACGCGTTTGGGAGATATAACCAAAAAACCTCAGGGGGGGGGCTCCTGAGGCCCCCCCCCGCCAGGAATAGGGTTAAGCTTATGGAATAACGCTAATGGAATGCCATATCTCATATTGTTTTCTCACAGTATTGTTTTTTTTTTGTGTACATAAAGGCTAGCTTCCAATAATGAAATCCGGGCACGTAGTTAAACGCAATTTGTGACATAGTACTTAACAGCTATACGTTCAAATACTGGTTTATATAAATGATCCAGAACCCAGAATACCGCAGTGTATACTATATATGTATATGAAGGACGGCGTGTAAGTACAAGTTTTCATGCATGTCCGACTTACTATGAATGCCAAACCAATTCATTTAGCTGAATTATGCCCTTCTTATACGCTCTGAAACAGCTCAAACCCGCGTGATTCAGCGATACTGTCAGGTTATTATTGGTAGCAGCTAAGCTATAGGTCGAGAATCCGCCCTTCTAACTTTAAATGCCAGCGAAACCTGTCGCCGCATGATGTAAACTGCAATTGAATACATTCGAGTTTTGCGGGTTCCGAACACATATGAACATCGATCGATGTTGTAAGACGGACCCCGAAAAAACTGACACTGATCGATCGACAATCAAAGGACAGAAACGAAATGGTAAGTATAGGACTGCGCTTTCGCAGTTAAGATGCATGTTCATTTATTGCCTAAGCCATCCTAAGCACTCAGTTCAAATTAAAAAATGCCTCCACTTCTACACGTAGTCATACGTTTATTGCGTACCACAATGCGATCAATAACAATTAACAACGTAACAATTTGTTCGTGGCGTGGTCAGTAGCGGAGCGCGCCACAGTCATGTCCAGTGGAACCGGATGTCAGAAAGATGGTAACAACGTAAATCAATACGGGCTTCCACCCAGGTCAAGGCTGGTGGAACCCATGGCAAACGATGGAAATTACCATACAGTCTACATATAAGTCAACCATCAACTTGCATGGCCAACGATGGCTATGAGCCGATTCTGTTCTTTTGTACACAAGGAAAGCTGCATACCATGAATACGCGTTTTTCGGGCTTAGCCTAACCAAATAAAACACCGTTTAATTTACCCTAACGAAACTTAAGCTAACATTTTTGATCGTTTAATTGCAAGTTAGCCTAAATCTGGCTTATGCTGATATGAAGGGAATATGAAGGAGCCGTTGAATCAGAGCCAGAAAACTTCGCCACGGTTATCATGCGACCAGCTGAACTTTCCGCAGATTGGGAGACACTGCTACGGAGTTGAAGAGGCTAGTCCACGGGCGTAATTCTTGTTTCCAATCAAAGGAAGGCGCTATACGGAGTATATCCCAGTGCGTCATTGTCAAGTGACTTACAACACCTTTATCCGGCCAGCTGTCTGCGAGCCGCGAGGTGTAGTGGTTGGTTAGCGCACTCGCCCCGTGTTCAGAGGACCGCAGGTTCGAATCCCGCCGGCGGCTGACATTTTTGGCGCGTTGTTGGTTTGTAGGCTGTAAGTTAGGTCAAGTTAGGTAAGATTAGGTTGTTAGTTTTTGTTTGGTTTGGTTACAAAGAAGCATCTTCAGGTATAGTGCCTACCTTTGGTTGGAAAAAAGAAACACGCAGTCCACGGATGGCTCACGCCGCGCTACATTTATGAACAGGCATTAGTGACGCAGTTCTGAGTCCACGGGTCCGGCACTAACATCAAATTCGGTTAATACGTTCAGAGCATATTCCCAGGAATATTCACCGCGGACGGTAAATTTCCCGAAAATGGCCTTCGGAGTCGTTCCCGGATGTAATAGGTGTTCTCTATGTAATGCCACAATGCGTGCGTGGTCCTCGGCATCAGGATTTCGGCTCGTGGGTCGTTCACATAAATCTGAGCGAATGAGGGTGGCTGGTCTCCGTTGGCTTCGAGTGGTCCAAGTCGGTCCCGCAGTCCGCACCACATGTACACGGCACGTACCCGCCGGTGCCAGCAGGCTGTGGCACCCGTCACGGCTCACGCGCAGACATCGACGACAGGGCCAGCCCGAGTTCAGACTTCAGATGCCTGAAAAACTGACGGAAGGTACGCGCTTCCACACCGTCGCCATCCCAAACGTGGCGCAGCACAGGTGGCGGGGCCGGCACGGGGTCAAGGAGGACCTCCCCCACCCCACCCACCCCACAGCAGAAGGTGGCACGTTCACCCAACCACCGTAAGGCCGCCGCTACGCCAGCCTGCAGCCGCTCCCCGAGCATCATAGCATTAGTTTGCACTAGAACATACAGGGTGTAACGAAATTATCCGGACATCTATTTTTTCGCCATATCTGCTCGCACAGTTTCTTGTTTAATGTTAGAAGCTGGAAAATTGGATGAATGCATATTATCACAGACGGTGTCTCGGTCCAAACTGTATTCGAGCCGGCCAGTTAGCCCCCGGGTCACAGAGACAACGCCACCACGGTTAACATACGAGTGCCCCCAGCACGGATGTCACGAGCGCAAGTACGCGTGCACCGGCGCGGCGGCCGCCAGCTCAGCTCCATGACACTCCTCCCCACCCCGAATACTTGCACAGCATGGACAAACAAATAAATATGCACCTCACAGAACAAATAACAACTGAAACAAAACGCCTACTCATAGCTCGCCACGTATCGGTCTGGGTGCCGCAGGGTGGACCGGTCTCTCAGCCGGTACCGCGGCGCGCTGGGAGAGGGTGCGGACGGCGGGACGGTGGTCACACCCGGCGCGGGCACCGCTCCGGTCAGCCCTGGCGGCGCCGGAACAGACGGCCGGCCAGGAGCAGGCGCTCGATCAGGAGCCGGCAGCCGGTCGGGAGTGGAGGCCAGTTGTCCGGGATCTGGAGCATGCCGTGCAGATGCAGCGGCGCTCTCCGTGACCGGATCAGGAGCAGGTATCGGTGTCACTCTGGAACGGAGAGGATCGTTAGCGACATGCGGAACAGCTGAATATCGCTCACGAACCTGGTCGGCGTGCCGCACAATCACCCTTCCGTCATTTAGCTCCATAGTGACCTTAACTCCCTCTACGAACACTACACGACCGGGCGCCCACCGACAACGCTCCAATCCCTGCAATCTATCGACAGCAGACACATACACAGGGTCACCCGGGTTCAGACATCGTTCACGGGCATTTCGATCACGGTACGTCTTTTGAGCCTCCTGCTGTCTGCTGTCTCCGTATACGCTCCTGCCTATCTGGTAGCACACCATCTAAATGAGTGCGTGGCACACGACCCAGAAATAATTCGGCGGGCGTACATGAGGTCGTAGTATGCGGTGTTGTGCGGTACCTACAGGGTGTCCGGAAATTGATTGCACACTCTTTTACTACATTTGACAAGGAAACAAAACGAGCATGTTTCATGGTTTATTTGCCGATATACCCTCCACCCATTCGCACACACTCCCTCATACGGTCGGGCATGCCGCACATTAGGTTATCCAGTGTATCCGCACTGATGCTGAGCCACGCTCGCTGGAGGTTCCTGATTAGCGCCTTCTCGGTGGTAGCCGGCTCCATCATGTCGAGCTCGCTCTGCACGATAGCCCACACGTTCTCGATGGGCGACAGGTCAGGGCTGTTGCCCGGCCATACACCCTTCTCCCAAAACCCTGGGAGGTTGTCCCGGCACCACTGTTGAGTGCTGGTGGCGTGATAAGCCGGAGCGCCGTCTTGCTGGAAGATCGCCTCGGACATCTTCGGGAGCAGCTCGACCTGTGTTGGCGGCCCCGTCTTCCTCTTCCGCTTCATCGCCGACGCTGCCGACTTTTTCAGGACCTCCTCCACGTAGTACTGGGCCGTCACGGTCTGGCCGCGGGGGACGAAGTGGAGCTCCGACAGGCCCTGATGACTCATCATGGCCCAGACCATGACTTTCAGCGGCTGCTTCACCGTGTCGATGGCAGGCACTTCAGCGCTGCTGTGCGCCCAGACGCGCTCGTTCTGGCGATTCGGCGGGTGCATGAGCTCGAACACCGACTCATCGCTGAACAAAACGCGCCGCCAGTCCTGGATGGTCCAGTTCTTCCGCTCCCGGGCAAATGCCAGCCTTTTCCGCTTCTGGGCTTCGGTCAGTTTTGGCTGGCGGCGCAGTTTTAGCGGCTTGAGACCCAAGCACTTAGTCATGTAGTGGTGAACAGTGGTCTTCGACACCGGGTGACCCTTCTCAGTCAGCTTTTTGGCCAGTTTCCGCGTCGATTGGCGTCGTTTCAGCACGGCCTTGGCGAGCACGATTTTGGCCACTCTGCTCAGCACAGTCTTTCTCCCACGACCCTTACGATTCTCAAGTGATGCACCGCTGCGGTCGAGAGCTAGCCAGTAATGAAGGGTTCGGCGAGATACGCCCAATTGTCGGGCAACATCGCCTACCGTCATCCCAGCTTGAACCATCCCAACCGCGCGGTGGCGCGTCGTCAAAGTGTGTTCCCTCACCACTCCCGATATGGGGCCCGCGCGCGAAGACTGCCTCTCGGAAAATGACCTGTGGCCGCTCACTGCGGCTCGGGTCAGGTCACCTGCTGGGTCACGTGATCAACTGACACGCTGGGGTGCCCGGGGGGCGGGGTCGCGACCCTGCCTAACCGGTTTGGCGGGAGCATGTGCGGGATACGGGCATATGGACAGTGTGCAATCAATTTCCGGACACCCTGTAAACAGAAATCGAGAGACCTTGGTCTCAATGGACCCCGAGATCTGTTTGTACAGCCCGTTTTTGAAGCTTTGCACGCTTCTTTCGGCTAAGCCGTTTGATTTGGGTGATAGGCTGGCCGCTGGGCGTCGTTTAAGTGGCTGATCCCATTTACACTGCAAAACGTTTTGAATTGCTGTGATACAAAACACTGGGCGTAGTCTGTCACTAGCACTGTTGGCACTCCCCAGCACGCAAACGACGCTCGTAATTTTTCAATCGTGATTAGTGAGTCGGAGGAACGAGTTGGGTAGACGTCCATCCATTTGGAGTGGGCGTCGACTATCACCAGAAACATCTATCCGTTAGCCGAGCAATAGCTACATGGACTCGCTGCCAGGTTGAGTCGGCCACTGCCAAGGATGCAGTGGAGCGTCAGGGGCCCTGCCCTTCAGTTCCTGACACTTCACACAACACTTCACGATATCACGAATGTCGTCATCGATTTTTGGCCACCAAACATACATTTTAGCCAACATTTTGGTTCTACACTCGCCAGCATGACCTTCATGTAACAACTTTAACATGGCACCCCGTCCCTGCGGCGGGACCACCACTCGTGACCCCCACAAAACACAGCCATCCTGCACACTCAGTTCACCTATACGGGACCTGTACGGCTGAAAATCAGGGCTGAGGGAAACACTATTGACATCCGGCCAGCCATCTCTGACATATCGATGTACCGCTGACAACACGGGATCCAGACCGGTCCACCGCTGTATCTGGGACACATTCACTGGGGATGAGTCGATGAACTCAAGCAAATGGACAGTCTCAGCCGGAATTGGAACGCTCGAACAAGCCTTCTCGCACGAAGGCAGCCTGCTAAGCGCGTCACAGTGGCCTTGCTTAGATCCTGGCCGGTACTCAAGGTGGTAATCGTAGGCCCCAAGCATCAGAGCCCAGCGGACCATCCTAGGTGACGCCATCACGGGCAAAGGTTTCTGCTCTCCTATGAGGCCTATGAGAGGCTTATGATCTGACGGTATAGTGAAAGTTCGCCCCGCTAGGTAATAGTGAAATTTCTTAACGCCGGTCACTACAGCTAATGCCTCTTTATCAGTCTGTGAGTATCTAGTTTCGGTGTCATTCAACGTGCGCGAATAGTAGGCCACAGGTCGCTCGCCCTGTGACGTCCGCTGACTCAACACACGGCCAATGCCGACCGGTCCCGCGTCACAGGCGAGAACCACCGGAAGGGCGGGATCAAAAGGGGCTAGTACAGGAGGGCTAACTAGCATCTCTTTGGCTTTCCGAAAAGCAGACTTCTCTGCCTCAGCCCACTGCCAGGGCTGATCTGCCTTTAGAAGACGATAGAGCGGAGCCAAGACACTCGCCAGGTTCTCAAGGAATTTCCCATAGTAGTTGATTAAGCCTAGCCACTTACGCAGCTCCTTAGCATCCCGCGGTTCCGGGGCACGAACAATCGTGGCCGTTTTCTCGTCGGTGGTCTCCACACCACGCCTGCTTATCTTAAGCCCCAGATAGGTCACGCTGCTGACGCCGAAGCTACACTTGGCCTTGTTGACCCTAAAACCCGCTTCCTCCAGCCGTCTAAGAACCTGCCGGAGGGCCTCGTCATGCGCAGCGGCATCGTCCAAGAAGACCCGAACGCCAGAGATACCAGCCAGGACAGTTTCCAGCGTCCGCTGGAACAGCGACACTGCACTCGAATAGGCGAAGGTCAACCGAAGGGGTCGAAGAAGACCCTTCGGGGTGTTAACCGTGAGATACTCGCGGGCCTTTTCATCTAGCGGAAGCTGATTATACGCGTTTTTTTCAAGTCGATCTTTGAAAATATGGTAGATCCCGACAGTTTTGAGTACAGTTCCTCCACACGCGGCAAGGGATACTGCTCTGCCTTAGCAGCCCTGTTGACGGTCAAGCGGTAGTCCCCACACACCCGTATTGACTGACCCCCAGCCTTGGGGACAACCACCAAGGGAGCCGCCCATTTGCTGTGCCGTACCTGTTCCCAGAGTCCGCCACGGATCTGGTCCTCCAGCTCGGCGTCCACAGCTTCCCTGAAGGCCAGCGGTACGGTGCGAGGCTTGAAGAAACGAGGCTGGACGTCCGGGTCTACGTCGATGCCGACTTCCCCGCCTCGATAGCAGCCCAGCTCCTCCTTGAAGACGTCAGCGAACTCGTCCAGGATGGGCTGCACACGGGTCTCCGCAGTCACTCGACAGATGGAGGGCCAGTCGAGCCTGATGTGTCCCAGCCAGTTCCTGCCGAACAGCCAGGGCCCGCCACCGTCGACTACGATGAGAGGTAGTCGCTGAGCCTGTCCGCCGTACTGAACGTTCACTGCAGCCTGCCCCATGACTGGCAGCTGCTCACCGCTGTAGGTCTTCAGCTTCACCGAACACGGTTCCAGCTTCGACCCTCCACAGGGCCAGAGCTGCCGAAACCCGGCGTCAGAGCAGACCGACAGAGTCGCCCCGGTGTCCAGCTCCATCTCGACCTTCTGACCGTCGAGCGTTACCGGCACCATCAGCGGCGGTCGCCGGACACCGAGGCCGGTCCGGACGGTGAACATGCTGTTCACCTCCTCACCGATCCCGGGACTGGAATTCCTCGGTTGCGTAGTGCCGTCCTCTCTGCTACCCTCCTGCGCGTCCGACCCTTGTAACGCGTCGCCATCAGCCGAGACATGGCGGAGGTGCTGCTGGTTCTTCCTGCAGGCAGCTCGGACGTGACCCCTGAGGCCACAGCTGTAGCACACCTTATCGATGAACGGGCACGTGTCCGGCTGATGATACCTCAGGCACCTGAAACAGCTCGCCGCCGTGCTGTCACCTGGCCAGTGGCCCGGGCGTCGTCCTGTCACGCTGAGAGCGCAGCCGACCACCAGCTCTGGAGTCCGCTGCGCCGCCACCGCCGTCCCTGTAGCCGGCAGGAGCGCGGGCAGCACCCGCACCCCTAGAACTGCTACGCAGCCGCAGCGGACCCCGGGCACCAGTCAGCCGATGAACGGAAGCTCCATCTGCTCGCTCCTCAGCACCGCCGCTGAGCTCAGCCGCACTCGCTGCCGCCGACTCGTGTGCCTGGGCCAGCTGCTCCGCCGACTGGAACGTCAGCCCCGGCTCACTGAGAAGCCGCGGTTGCGGCAACTCGTTCCGTATACCACAGACCAAACGGTCACGCAGCATTTCATTAAGGACATTAGGTGCGTACGCACAGTCTTTAGCCAGCTTACGAAGCCGCGCTA